TCATCTCGGGCAAGCAGGAGCGCGCCGTCGACGTGCCCGACCTGACCTCGGCTTCCTCCGTCTCCGCCAGGAGCGCCGACCGGGATGGTAAGAGGACGAGGTCGCGAAATAACGCTTTCTATATAATCTGTTAAAAAACATGGCATTATGCACGAAACGCCGATCTCTTCGGGGTCCCCCCTTTACACCTGGTTGACGCACGTGACACATCGACCACGTGGTCCCGCCCTGTCGCGGGACACGCGTTGACGTGAAATTAGGAACGAGTAGCGGTAATATCGGGCACGGTGGCACACGAATTACGTGCGCGGAAAGACGCATGAGACTCGCGGCTCATATACCATCCGTGACTGCCGACATCGGCGAGACTCTAGCGGAGGAGCGACCCATTAACGGGAAACGCGTGTCCATAATCTCTCGCCTCTCGTTTTTCTTAGATTTTCTTATTACCCCGGCCGACGGCGATCGATCACGGGAGCTACTCTCGAAGTCGAAAGCAGTTGGTCTTCTCCGCGCGGGAAAAGGGACGCGTCCGGTATCGCGGGATCTCTCCTCTCTCTCTCCCGTTGTTCGTTGTCTCCTCCTTTCCCTTTCCCTTCCCTCCGGCAGAACTTTGGTCACGCGTTCCTAACTTTACAGGCCAACGGGATGAATATGCAACGCGAATTGGTCGCTTCTGGAGAAAGTCGACTCGTCGATCTCGCCTGGTGAACTTCGCGACCGTCCAGGTTTTCGGGCATCTTTGTTAACTGGTGTTAAGGAAGTACCCGGGATCGTTGCGCGCCTTGTCGTTGCGTTGTGCGTCTTTAACCTCGCGTTACGCGTTAACACTCCCAGGTTGCACATGTTGCCACCGTTATGCTGCCACTTTTGCAGCCTCTTCCACCGTGAGATCAGTCAGTGTTACACATAACTGATTCCGCGTCGTTAGATGATGCGGCTTTAACGCGGTACCGCAAGCGGCCCGTGCGCTCGCCTCTCCGTCCCCCTTTCGCGACTTCTCCGTTTCCGCGGAGTCGCTCATTGAATTTCGATTATTTTTCTCTTTAGCCGATTTAATGGCCATCCCTTGTCTCTTATCGATAACTCGAGGGAGTACAAACATTTATATATAAAAAAAAAAAAAGAATGACGAAGAGGAGCGGGACCTTGAATTTCTTTAACTTTCAAGGACGACTATTCGTTGAATAGAATTCCTGTGTTCACCCGTGTTAGGAGCCTAGTCGAGAAATTTATTCCAAGATAGAAATTCCGTCTCTGTTCCTCGATTTCGAAAGTCCTATTTTCTCTCGAGAGACTTAGAAAAGGCCTCGAAGCGCCGCTTACGAGCGATTGTCCCGAAGGTTTGTTTAACGGGACCCGAAGACGTTCGATCAGCTGATCGAGGAGTACCACGAGGAGCCCGTTAGTCAGGACGCACCGCGCGCGATTTTTCACAGCTTTGGCGAAGTCGCCTTTGCTCTTACTTATTTTTTTTCTTTTTTTTTTTTTCTTTCCTCGCTCTTCGAGATGTCAAGGGAAACGTCCTCGAGCGATACGTCAGCCGCAGGAGTGTGCGAGCCACCAGGAAGCGCAGAATAATTTCCAAGCGTAGACACGATGACTAGGTGCGATCCGAAGGACCGACTGCGGGATTATTGTCGCGTGTTGGCTATGCTCGTAAAACCGCGACTTTTCGCCTCGGCCGAGAAACCGAGCCGTAAAGAGCCGAGAGAATTCCACGGCGATCGAGAAGAGCTCTAAGTCACGGGCAAAGAGCTTCCCGTCTTGCGCGGCGGCGGTCCACCTGGAGGTCCCCCTGAATGGGAGGTATAAAAATCAAGAGGGGAATAGAATTCCTGCTCATGGTTTATACATCACTATCCTTATCGAAAATGGAGCCGAAAAATCCTATACTATTTTTTTCTCACGGTGCTTGGTTCACCTGTAATAATTAATTCAATGTACGAGGTGCGTCGACGAGCGGACCGCGCCGCGAGCTGTCCCACCTTCGCCCCGACTTAGGTTTGATTTTATTACAGGCGATCCAAGCACCGTATAAAAAAGTTCTTCGGAACTTTTCGACTCGGTTTTCATGACGGATAACGAGGTGCACACCCTGGACATGGTGAATCGAAGGTGCGAGCGATGGCAGGCTAGGGTATCGTCGCTCGGATTTCTGGATCGACTGTTTCCATTTAAATGGCCAGCGGAAAACGGCTCGGTCCGATTTTCCCGTAGCGGTACCGCAGGGTCCGGGGTTAACCGGCGAGTGGACTGCGAGTGGACGCGCTTCGCTCGTCGTCAGCTCGCGCCGGTAAAACGGGAATGGAAACGAGGCTAAACGCGCCACCACCACGCGGAAATCCTCCCGGCGAGTTGTCGCCGCTTCCTCGGACGGCGGTCCCGGCATTCCGTACCGCGACACCCGCTCGTAGAGAAGCCGCGACTCTCTCGAAAAAGGAAAACGGAAAGCCATGAATAATCTCGAGGGAGCCTCGAACTCGAAAGAAGCGAGACCGTCGAGCACGTGGTTCGACGAGGAGTGATCATTGCATGCGAGGATTAGTGACCCTACCGAAGAGGACCCTGAAGACTTCTATTACCGACTCGAAGATCTCCTCCGTGGTTCCTGGCACCCTGCACCGACTCCTGGCGAGCACTCGCGTGGCTCGCGAGGGGAAATCACTCGGATGGACTTTGCGAGACGAGGAGCAACGCCAAGAAGCGACCACGGCGAGAGCTCGGGCCGCGCTTTATGGGTTCGCCGTCGACAGCCTCTATGGGCCAGGTAACGCGACGATTATCTCATTCCGACCGGCGATCGCATGCTAAACGATCGTAAATACTATCGGGAGGTATTCGACGACGGGACCTCGCCGATATCTCGCGGAAGGTTGCTTCCGCCATTATGGAGAACGCCGAGAGAGAGAGAGAGAGCTCGATGCGTGGCGGAGCGCGGCTCCGCAGCATCCGAGCGCGTCGTGGATCTTGAACCGGCACGATGTCAAGGTCGCCGCGTTGCTTTCCACCGCCGGAATGGGATTTCGTGACTTTCCTTTTGGCCATCTACGCCACTTCGGCTGGGATCCCGCTCGTGGGTCTAAAAGAAAAAAAGCGAGAGAAGAAAAGTTCTCTAGGATTTATGCGCGTTCAAGTGATAGGAAAGTGGCGTCAGGTGATGCATGGTCTCGTTCATGAGACTCGGGTGCATAAACTCCGCGGTGACACTTAGTCGCGCAAAATGGTCCCACGTGAATGTCGAGGCCTTTAATCCTCCCATGAGATTTCATGGTTTTTCATGAAAACTCGAGGGGGCCTATTCATCCGGGGACCATCAATCCCCTGGATCGATCGCCGCGAGGCAGCCTAATGAACCTGACGGTCTCGGTCGAGTCCGTGTACCACCTGTCGGGGATTGACACGGTATACCATCTCCGGGTCCATCCAGTGAGCTGCTCGATCCCGACACGCGAGAGCGAGACGATAATTCACGCACCTGGCGTCGGGACAAATGGCGTGCCCCTTCTCGAGGGAGCACCTCCTGCGGACTTCTCGAAGAGGTCCTGGAAGAAAGGAGGAACTCTTTAGACGCGGAGATCTCCTTTTATATTCCGCGAGTCCCGTTTCCGGCCAGTCTCGGCCGAAACGACGTCGTCAGAAGTCAGGGCTAGAAAGTCGGACACGTCGGCGGGGATAATTGGCGCTCCTCTGACGCGCAGGAACGCTCGCCACGGCGCCGAGCGCCGACTTTAATTGGATCTCGAATGGACCTGACGCGAGATTGCTCCTGAATAGACGCTGGACGTCAATTAAGGACCTACATCCTGCAGGAGAGGGCTTTAAGGATTTCTCGAAGGCGCTTGGCGTCGTCGAAGACCTCGCGCCTGGGATGGGAGCGCGCGCACGCTGGGTCACGTGGGCGCCGGTCACGTGGCCACGCGCCACGTGGTCGCCAGCTGTCAAACTAGCCCGGGGCCTTTAAACGAGGAGCGTCTTTTTATTACTTCTCTTGGTTTATTTTCATGTTTGTCGAGCTTTTTCTCCGCGTTCCTATCGTGATGGCGACTCGTTGGATCTAAGAGGAGGATATCTCGGGAGATCCTCGTAAATCGAGCCACAATTTATCTCCCATCCGGGGAATGGAGATGACCGCGTGCTCGAGTTGCTCGCGAGGGGTGGCTTGTTCCCTGGAATTCACCGATTGCATTCCCTCGGTCGGTTCGCACGATTCCAAGTCGGATGACTAACGGACTCGATGTATTCCGCTGTTAGGAGACGACCGGAATCATTTCCAGCGAGATGAACACCGGTTCGCTCAGAACGATTCGACATCGAGGCAACCGAAGAAAGTCCCCCTTTCTCTTGTCCGTGTCGCCAAGGGGGGCTGGGGAGGAGGGAACGGACGTCATTCCGTGGGAGGATGGAGATGCGGAGACGTTCGGTTAATAACTCCGACTATCGGGAAGAGATCTCGGTCCACTTCCTGGCCGAGTGCGTGGGAATGCCGCAATTCGTCAGGAAATTCATAGAGCCATTTTTTTCCGCCCTTCTCCCTCATTCTACTTTCTCTTCCTCGTTTATTGTCTCCCATAGCAACTTCTTCCTGCGTCGGTGGTAAAATTTCAAGTGTGCCGAAAAAAAATGTTATCAACAATTGGCCCCTAGGGATGGCACTTTCTGCGTCATCTTAAACCATGGTTAATAAATCCGGAAGAGCCCGCGAGGTTTCCGCACGAGTAAGCCTCGTCGATGGGAACCGGCTGGCAGCTTCCGGGGCGCACCGCGACGGGGAAAGTTGTTTATTGTCCTGGATCTGCATAAACGAAATTGCGCAGAGAGAATGGACGGAACGGACGCGTGCTCGCCGCACCGGAAAATCGACGATCGGATCCTCGCACCGCGGGCAACGATCGCGAGTTACGAAACGGTCTAACGACTTTGTAAAAATAGGGGAAAAAAAAAAGAAGAAATTCAACGGCATTCTTCGTACTTACCTTTTCAATTTCTTCCACTTGCAGCGAGCAATGAGCACCAGGAGAAGGACAGCCTGAACGAGACCGGAAGCACGACGGGAGGCACCGTGGAGGGCAACCCCGCGGGCAGCCCCGCCAGGGGAGACAGGACCCACCTGGAGAACGACTCACCTGGCCAGGTGGCTTCGACCTCTCCGCGCCCCAGGTCGCTCGTCTCCAGGATCCTGGCCAGGGCGAGATCCCCGGACGACCTCTTAGACCACGCGGAGCCATTGTAAGTCCTGAAAAAACGAAGATAAAAAAAAAATACCCAGCGCTTCCCGAAGGCAGTTTTCGCGCTAAGGTCTACCTTCTCGGAGCCAGTGCTAATTGGCTGCCACCCAGAAGCACCTCGCGCCGACAAATTATGCTCCAGGCCGTGGAAGGGTAAAAACGGGGACCGCTTTTTCTCGGTAACGGGTCAACGAGAGACGCCAAGGTAACGGCGTGGTACGGCCCGAGGTGCGAGGACGTATAGCCAAGAGTAGACGTCTCTAGACAGCTGACCACGTCGAGGGCGATCTACACCTCGACTTCCAGGAGATAATAAATCCCGACGATCGATTCCTTCTTCTCTCGTTCCAGCTCGCAGCTATGGATCGTCCTCTCGAACGTCTACGGGGAGCTGATGGTGGTGCTCATGATGGCGCTCTGTTTGGCCGAGGTCATGGACACCCCGGTGCCCCTGCTGAGCCTCCAGGTGAGGAGTTTTGGACACGGGGAACCAACGAAAGGCCCTCGACGGGGCACAATAGAGATCTAGGCACCTTAACGGTCTGCCTTTTTACGAGGGTACCGCTCGGACCGTAAACCTATCCAGGACGGTCGCAGGACAGGGCCGGTGGGCCGTAAAACCTGCGGTAAAAAGCCTGCTTTAGGTTGCGTCCATCCACCATTGCGCCCGTAAGCACGTTACGTTCGAGCCGACCAAAGTGGACCTCCCGTTAAGCGTAATTATTAAAAAGAAGAAGGCCTACTCCGGGCCGACTCGTTGCGCCGCTCTATTCCTGGCCACTCGTTACCGTTCTCGCGTCTTCAAGGTACTCTTCTGGTTGAGTCACCCCCAATATTTCTCCCTCGCTATTTTTGGACGGATCGAGCGACTCTCGGGCTCTATTTGTCCTGGGATTCTCCCTTATTGCCCCAGGTAACGCGGCGGCACCGCTCGTAGGCTGGGGGTCAGTGCTCGAGGAGCGGTTAATAATTCTACGTTCAAGGACAGGGCCCGTAATTGCAGCCAAGTGGAACTGCAACCGGTGGTTTATTAACCATGCAAATTGCGGCTCGGACCCGCGGGAATCTCGCCCCGGGCCTAGAGACGCGATCCTCGGGGTGTCTCTAACGTTCCTCCTCTTCAGGGCGTCTTCCTGATGTACCTCTACGTCGGCAGCATCGCCGTCATCATCGGCATCTATCTATGGGTGCTGATCGACAGCTGCGGCAGCTTTACCGGAGGTGGAGGTCTGGACGCTGAGCTGGGCAATGCTTCCCTCACCAGGTTCGGCTCCCTGAAGAAGGCCCACATCTCCAGGGCTAGAACTGCGCCCACTAGCTTCTACATCAGGGTCGGGGCGTTGCGTAAGTGACTCCTTACTGATCTATCGGAAAATTCCCAGGTAGATTTATAAGGTGAGAAATGTCCTCCTCAGTTTTCGGCCTGGCCACCCTGGTCTTCAACGGCCTCGAGATGGCGATGCACTCCATGATGCAGGGCGCGGAGTGCCTGAGCGACGTCGTCTTCGTGCACCCGGTCCTCCACGGGCTCTTCACCTTCCTGCAGATGCACTTTCTCTTCGTCAACTCTCAGGTAAATTTTTTACACCCAATTCTGCGGGGAACATGGATCAGGACTGAACTTCCCCAGGTCCTGGTGGAGCGTTTCGGGTTGGCGGCCAGATTTGGCTTCACCCATCTGGCCGCGACCAACGTCGCGGTCTGGGCTCGTCTCGTCATCTGGGATTCGGCCCAGGAGTGGACCTACTTCGTGCACCTGGCTCAGAGAGGACCAGGGGCGTCCTCTTCGCCGTTGAGTCTTCGAGGATTCCCGGGATCCCTGATCAGACACACCAGAGATCTTGGTATGTCGGCGACTCCCCTGGAGAAGGGAGTAGAATCGTCCTCTGGCAGAACTCGTCGTCCCTGGAACCTGAAGTCGCTCGGTTTTAGGAGAGACGAACCCTGGGGAGGTGTCCTTCAAGCCTTACCAGCCGATCTCGGACGAGCAGATCTCCCAGGTGGTGGCTCTTCAGGAATGCCTCAACACGAATACCCTGGGACAACTCTGGACGTCCAGCATGCTGTTCCTCTACCCCTTCATCGTCCAGTTCAGGTGGAGAACGGAGTCTCTGTAATGGTAATCATTTCCAAGTCGGCGAAGGCTAAGATAGGGACACGGTTTCAGCCTGATAGCCGCCGCGGTGACCTTCGTGATGGGCCAGAACGTCGGCAGGAACCGACTGTCCTCGAAGAAGTTCCACTGCGCGAAAGAGCTCGCCGGGAATACGCGGATCGGCTGCGACGGCTCGAGCAAAGGCCTCTTCCTGGGGATTCTCTGCATGGTCGCGGGCATCGTGGTCATCCTGATCTTCTTGGTGGTCCGGGAGGACGCCAATTTCCCATCGGCCACGCTCTCCTGGCTAACCTGCGGCACCTTGATAGGAATCCTCTCGCTGAGTGGCCTGATGACGGCCAGTGGGCTGGTGCAGGTGCGGCAGATGTCCGTCGTCACCAGGGCACCGGCTGCCTTGGACAACCTGCTGTCCAACGTGGCGCTCTTCGGGGTCCAGCTCTACTCGGTGTTCACCATCGTGGTGTGCGCGTGTTCACTGGCCACCATGGACGAGGCTTCTTCGGGGAATCAGGGAAGACACGCGATGTTGTTGTCGGCCTCGGTGATCCAGCTGGTCCAGTGCTTCGCCCAGAGCACCCTGATCGCCGAGGCCTCGAAGAGGTCCTGCATTACGCGCTTCCAGATGTCCGTCAAGCCTGCTCGCCAGGTTATCACCTTCCTGCTCTTCAGCAACGCCGTGCTGTGGGCCTTCGACACCGTGGTCACCCAGAACTGGGTGTCGCAGGAGCTCCAGCTCAGGTTCTTCGGAGTCCTCGCCTGGGGCGTCGTCTCCAGGATCGGCCTACCTCTCCTCGTTTTCTACCGATTCCACAGCTGCGTGATGCTCCTCGAGGCTTGGAACAAGTGCTACAGAGTACCTAGGGGCGAGGTGCCGCTCAACTGACGACGCGGAGACCCACGGCGGTCCTCCTCCAGGTAGGGTCCACCGTGAAGATGCCACGAAGACGCCTTGAACTCCGTTCCAATCTACCATCCAATCGAATTCTCGTTCCTTCCAGGTTGCAGCAGCGACCTCGTCGCTACCACCGGCGCGGGAAAGTGAAGCTGGACCTCAGGAAGACCGACTTCAAGGTCCACCGTGGGCCAGCTCGCGACTCCCTGGTACCGGACTCGCCGATCCACGCTCGTCCCTACCTGGACAGTGCAAGTTGGCTGTACCTGGACCCGAATCCCCTGGTACCGGTCTCCCTGATGCAAGCCCACGACCAGGAGTTCGGGATACCCCCGCTCGGCCGAGGAGTTCACCGTCACCATCATCACCATCATCGTCATCGCGAAAAGCACAGAAGGGTCGTCAGCGACCCCGGTACCAGGCCCTGGAACCTCCTCTCCGGAGAGGCTAAGCGACATCGCAGGGTCTTCAGCTTCGACCATGACGTCCGCGCTGCGCACCTTGAGGAGGGAACCGACGAGGAGGTCCTTGCTCCCGGGGAAACGAAGGTCGAGACCTTCAGGAAAGTGCCATGGCACCCCAACCTGCACATGCTGAAGATCAGGCAGACCTGACGCACGAGTCTCTTGAACTTTCTCCGATATTTCCGGGCGCCGCCATTTTGGAGAACGCGGGGATTTTCTCGTACTCCGAGCAGACGCTTTGTCCTGGTGCGAACTTGCTAAATTAATGGCACGTTGGAGGTTTATCTTCAAGGTTCGGTTGCCATTATTAGCTTAGCCGTTAATTCGGCCCGCCGGACTCGAACGCGAGTCCTTGGGAGGGTTTGAAGTCTAGCAGAAATCTAAAAATCGCGCGGAGCGATCGATCGTACTTTTAAGTTAGGTCCATACCGAGTGGCGATAGGTCCTCTTCATGTTCGGAGGTACGAACCTCTGAGGTTCACGTGCAATATTCCCCTTCCCGTAGCTACTTCTACGCTGAATTGTATCGTTATCTTGTACAGAGATAGGTAGAGACGAGAACTTATGTATTTATGTAGGAGAAATCTGCTCGGTACTCCGCGCAGGCGATAATTAAGCCAGTAATCACTGTAACCGGGCATTGAAATTGCCGAGCCGTGGATGCGCGTCCTCGGCGCGATTATTTTCTTCTTTCTTCGCGGCTGCTCGACAATCGCATGCGTTTCTGTACATACATTGCATCTAGGAGTAAGACCGAAGATGTATGTCGGTCCCTGGGACGACTGAGCCGAAATACACGGAATTATTCAGGGAACGGTCTTCAGGGTTAGGACCTTACGGAAACCTCTATTAGAACACTAGTCGTACGTTTATTGGACTCTTTAATATAAAGTGTACATCCAGGGACTCTTCCTCCTGAACTAACGCCTATAGTGAAGGAAAACGTCCACCGCTCGTCTCGAATTTACGAATTGAGCCGAGCGGAAGTCGCTCTCAAAGCTTCTGGGATGCAAGTTCTTAGCCAATTGCGCTCGGGAACCTGTATGTACTTCACGCATGTATACTTGTACAGGTATTCGACCGTGAATCTGTATAAACTCGGGTAAATGTACCCGCAATTTGCAATGGACTGTCTACGTCTATGCAAGACGAGTACTTTTTCGCGGCACAGAGGACGATCTGTAGGACCTAGTCGATTCCGCTTCCCTGAAGAGCGTATTCCTCTAGGTCGAGGAATTATCGGATGAATGTCGGCAGTGGGATGTCGATCGACCCGTCCACTCTCCGCCAACGGGCAAGGCTCGGTTTAAACCTCTCGCAGATAAAAAAATGAGAAACGAGGAACAAGGAGAAACCACTGGTCCTTTAAGTGACTTAAGAGTACGGCGTCGGGCCCGGTCCTTCCTCGAAGACGAGGTCTCGGACGGGACCCGGAGGAAGGGATGCGAAACTCTAACGATACGTAGAAATTAAAGCAGAAACGGCGGTAATCTTAACGCGAGCAACGTGCAGGTGGACCTCCGACTCCTACGCGAAGGTGACTTCGGCGACCCTCGAGCGAACCAGTCCTGGTCCACGATACTCTCCGATACCTGGAGAAAAAATAGGAATGGTGGAAACTCGACCTGGAAGGAGTGCTCAAGACCTCTTCAGGGTCTAGACGAGGTAGTCTACGCGTATTCTAATGGATCCGATAGTCGCCAATGAGTGATAAGGCTCCGTTAATTATCGTACCTCTCTTTTTAGTCCAGCCCGAGGTCGTCGCCCGGTCCCGAAGGTTTCGGGGGATCTGCCTCACCCTGAGTAGTGGCACTTGCGGAAGGAGGCACGTTCGGGAAGCCGGGGAACGTGGGGAACCCGGGGCACCTGGAGCCGTCCGCCCCGGCTGCTGCGAACTTCGTGGCCATCATGTCGATCACCGCCCCGATCTTCGGGTTGTGCTGGTACTTGTAGATGTTGGGCGGGTTCTGCGAGATGTCGTTGAAGGCCTCCGCCACCTCGGGGTCCTGGAAGGAAAACCAGGTCAGTCCTTGAAATTTTTCCCCACTTAACGGTCCATCTTTTATCCAGACTCGAGTGAACCCTGAAGAGCTCACTGGCACCGTACCAGGAATGCTCGCAGGACGTCGGCGTCGTTCAGGAACTGGTTGAAGGCTCCGGAAACCCCGCCTGGTCCTTCCGTTTGCGAGGGGCGTGTGTTGTCCTCGCGAGCCTTGGCCTCGGCTCGCGCCTTCTTCAGCTTCTCCTGTCGCTCCTTCAGCAACTTCTCCGCAGCCCGGCGCTCCTTCTTCCTCTTGTGCTCCTCGATCAACTTCGCCTGAAACGAGGACATCGAGTCATTAGGACCGCCCTCCACCCTTCCAGCCTCGGGGCGCTCTTCGGGGTGCGACCAGGAAAACGTAAGACCGCTGACGGACTCGTGCCCAAGGTGCGCCGTGACCTCACGCGATTACGAGCTCATAATAGATCGCGAAAGTAGCCAAATTGGCAGATCGCTCGCATAAGTCGGGGCCCCAAAAGCCTGCCCTAACCAGGGCGCAAAACAAGGCGGCCATATCTCGGAAACGCGACAAACGAAACCTAGAAAGGGTGGGAGCCCGACCCTGAAGAGTCTCATTCCTCGAGGTCCCTTTTTCCTTTCTAGGTTTCTTCAAGATCAGAGGATTAGCCAGAGATTCCTCTCCTCGGAAGCATTCCCAAGGTTCCGCCTCCTGATGCCTCGGATTACGAGATCGGCCAGGAAGAAGAGGACCTCAGTTGCCACCTCTTCAGGGATCTTGGCACAAATGGCGGCTCGGAAGGACCCCGGGTTCTGGTGCACCTCGCAGAGAGGGCCACCTTATACGGCGGCGGCCCGGCCGTCTAAATATAAAGGCGCCCGGCGTCGCGACGCTCCTCTCTGTCCCGAGCGAGTGTCTCGCCTCTCTCGGACCTCCAAGAGGAGTCGCTTCCTCGAGGTGCTCTTCGGGGGTCTCTTCAAGGGTCCGATGAAACGACGCATCTCAGGGCTCGAACCGATCCCTGAGATGCGTCGACGGGAAGGTCTCGGCGAGCGAAAGAACCGATGCCGAGGAAGACCCTGAAGAGTGGCGAGACAACTCGCTAAATTATACCATTGAAAAAAAAAAATTGTTCAATTGTAAAATCATAAGATTAAGAAATTTTTATGTCTGGGAGATGCGTGCTCGCGGTGGCGGGTAATTGGACGGGGTGACAATGGCGCGGCCAAATGTGCGGCAACGAGGCGATTCGACGTTAACCGGGAGATCGATCGGTGCATCGCGCTGTACACGGGAAGTTTCTTCATCTCGGGGCCGACCTTGCCCCCATAATTTTGCATAAGTAACGTCGAAAATACCGTCGCTGACGTAAAGCCCAAGCCGCTCTCTTGGCCCGGCTGCTCCTCTCGCGGTTCGATTAGCATCTTCCGCGTCGAAACCGATCGATCACTCGCCCTGTCGCCGATTAACGAGCGTCACCTTGCTCCCTGTATATATTAATACTATCTCTATATGATATACTATGTCTAGATAATACCTATGGCGAGTCCACCTCCACGAGGAGGAACCTTTATTTATTTACCTATTTATTTATTTATATATCGAGTCGAGGGGTGGAATCTAAGTCTGTTTGCGGTATGCCCGGCCAAGGTGGCGGCACGCCGCAGAAGTGAGTCTAGGGCGGGCCGAAGGTACGACCTCTGGCCACAGCCGAGGTTGCTCCACCAGAGATAGCTGGTGCTAAGTGGGCCGCCAGGTATTTTTAAGACCCGTGGGCCGAGTCTGGCGGACCCCTAAAGCGGCATGGTCTCTTCAGGGTGCTCGAGGAGGCGTCTCGGATCGTTTCCCCGGAGGGAAGGGGTCCGTCCGGAGGTCCTGGCTGGCTAGGAGGCTGGAGGAATCCTAGAGGAGCGGCGGTTTTTCTTCCAAGGGAGAGGTTCGACAGGAGAGGCCCCGAAGAAGGGGTAGAAGGGACCCTTTCCCCAAGGTCGGCGACCTTCGCTGGGAGCGGTCCGGTGGTGTCGCGGCGAGGTGCCAGCCGCTTCTGCCCGGTCCGGTCCGCGACACCGCGGACGACGATCGCCGTAGGCGAGGTAGTGGGGCTTCTTCAGGGTCTCTCTGGCTCGGAGGCGGCAGTTGTTCGCGGGTGTAGTCCGAGAGCGAGACCACCGTCCGAGGAGCTAGCAGCCTGGCTCAGCGTGTGGTGCCCGGTGCCTAGAGATGACGGGCTCGACCCTGAGACCCAAGGTCTTCCTGGGCCTCTTCTTGGGCCTCTTCCTGGGCCTTCCAGCTGTCGCCTTGCAGGGTGAGTATCCCCGAATCCTCCCTCGGTGGAGAACCTCTCGTAAATAATTCCTCCGGCGAGATTTCTCTCCCAAGCCACTCTCCAAAGTGGCCTCCTACGTCCTCACGAAGAACCTGACAAGGGAATCCTCGAAGAGGTCGCGAAGCGTGGAACCTCCTGGAGGTCTTGAAAGTCCCGGGACCACCTGGAAGAGACCAAATTTCGGAGCGATGGACCCTGAAGACGAGGCCTCGGTATTTCGAGGAATCCATTGAAGTCGTATCGAAATTGAATTGCCAGGCAATCTGGAGCCTCGGGTACTTCCGATTCCCTGGCACCGATGTAAATCTCCTCGGGAACGTTAGTCAGGGTTATATGTAACGCCGAAATCGTAACCGAATCCCTCGGCGTTACGTAAACCTCGGGATCCTCTTCGTGGTACCGGTGACGTCGGTCTCGTCCTGGGGTAACCTCGTTAACGCGTTGGGCCTGACGATACGACGAGCAACGGACATTACGAGCCAGGGTAACGTCGTTGCCGGTCTTCGGGTATGTCAGGGACGCTGACGAAGGCGTGACGATTGACCGACGAAGGTCAATGTTACGTAAGGTCTTAGTCAATGCGTGCGTCGGAACGGCAGGCGCGAACCCCGGAGGAGGTCGATCCAGAAGGGCGCGATCTTCTGGCATCCCCGAAGAGAAGCCGAAGAGCACCTAGAGGAACCCGCCAAAAATTCGGCAAACTCGTCGACGGAACGCCGAGGCCCGGGGTCTATCTTTAAACCGCATCGGCCGGGCTCGGCGAACGACAGCTGCTTCCAGCGCTATCACTCGTATCCCCAGATCCCCAAGTATCGAGTTTTCCCACCTCTTCAGGGTGTTCCAGGTTCTACCTCTCGGAGGAAAACTACCCCTCGCGTATAGAAATTCAAGGTCAACGACCTGGGAATATTCTTTGGGTCGCGTACCTCGAGCTCTTCAGGGGAGCTCTAATTGCAATGATTTTCGGTTTCTTTCGCAACCGGAGGCGAGAATAAACTCGAGACCTCCTTGGAAGATCTAGGGACCGTCCAGGTGACCCGGTTTCTTCAGGGACGTCGAGGCCTTCCCGAAGACCCGAGGGAAATTCAAGGACCGCTCTCTTTCGGCGTGTCGCCCGATAAAAATACTATGCGCTCGCTCGACGTATTAATATTTCCCGAGTGTCGCCGCCTTCGAAGCCGCCTACTCGCGGTCGCCTAAATTTAGAGGGACGTTCCTTCTCCCGGACATCCTGAAGACGAGTCCCGGCTCTCCAGGGTATGTCCTGGATATATCCTCGAGGTCCTTGACGTCATCTCTGGAACGAGAAGCGCGAGCGAACGGCTGATCACCCTTCGTCGGAAACTGGGAACATCGACGCGGCATCTCTTCGGGGCTCGCTTTGAATCCAATTTTCCGGCTTAATTACAACTCCCAGGGAAAAACGCCTCCTACGAAGATTCTTCCTCGGATCTTCCTGAGAAACTTTTGTGGGGGACGTTTTTCGCTACCTCGCACCGTTTACACCTGTCAACGTCGAGACGCGGCCCGGGCGCGCGTTCCACCCGTCGCGGCGCTCTTCAAGATCTTGCGTCACCGGGTCGGGTATTTCTGGCGGTCGTGTGGCGTTCAACTCTGGTCTTCTCTCCTTGGGCTGTAACCCGGGTTCTTATCGATCCACCCTGATGAAGGTCTTCTCCAAGGGTCCCCAAACTGGAGGAGATCCTGGCCCTGTTCTTCTAGTGCTCTTCAGGGTCCTCAGGATCCTCAATGCCAAAGTCGAGGCGTGGGCTGGTGACCTCCGGGTATTTAGCGCATTGAAAGCCGATCTTGGCGACGTTCTTGAGTCTCTCGCCTCTTGGAGGTGAGGTCGAGGATGCGGTAGCCGTTCTCCGAATGATCCCTCGTCGAGTCCCTTGTTCAACCACCCTGAAGAAGGTCGAGGTCGGGAGAAAAATCCGAATTTTTGGCTAGGGGCAGTCGGTGGTGAGGTCGATCTATGGAAACCAGCACCTGAAACCCGGATAAAAATTGCGTGAGGTCATTCTTTCGAGGTCGAGGTGCCGGCTGAACCTCATGGCGTCGTTTCAGGTGTGCAAGGCGAGGACGAGCTGGAGCCGGTGCCCTCCGAGGTCCAGTGTCGACCTTACATCGAGAAGGCCCTGAAGGACCTCGGCACAGGTAATACTTGACCTTAACGCTGCCTGGGGTGGGACACAGCGACCTCTAGAATGTTTCGTTTGAAGGGTCTCTTGAGCAGAGCAGCGCCGAGGTCGAGGCTGACGCTGAAGAGGGTGGCGAGAGGTCAGCCGGATCGGACGAACAGGTGAGCGTCTTCTCTCCTCTCCTTCTTCTTCAAGACTGTCTCGAACACCATCCGGGAGTCCATTAAGCCCACCCTGAAGAGCGAGAAAAATAAACGCTTCTCCACCTCGACCTTGATTTTTCTCGTCAGGCTGGCGAACCAGCCGACGGTGGAGGCGGAGAGGTCGAGAACGAGGGATCTCAGGGCGAGGTAGAGGACACCGGGGAGAGCGTAGAGGATGTCGAGGTCATCGAAGTCGTCGAAGACGGGACGGAGGAGCGAAACGACAGTCCCGAAGAAGAGGCCTCCGAGAAACAGGAGGAGTCCGTAGAAGGTGCCGAGGACGAAACCGATGAACGAACCGACGAGGTCGCAGCCGAGGAGAGCGTCGAGGTCGAGGTCAAAGGTAGTCTCCGTGTATTTTTCTGTCTTAGTTCCTGGAGTCGCGTTCGAACCGTTTCAATGCCCGGTGCCAAGTGAAAGGGTTGATCCGCTTCTTCGTCTTTCTCTTCAGCAAGCGAAACCGAGGAAACCGGAGAGGGTTCGGTCGAGGAGGTCGTGTCCGAGGAGAGGAAGGAGGACGTCGAGTCCGGATCTCCCGGCTCCGAGGAGCAGCCTGAAGAGGCCGGAATCGAGGATGTGACCGCCAACGACGGGAAGTCCGACGAGGACAAAACCGAAGAAGCCGCCGAGGACAGAGCCGAAGAAACCGCCGAGGTCGGAGACGACTCGCAGCCCTCGGAGGAGGGCTCGAAGGAGGTCGTCGAATCCGAAGAGGCGGAGTCCAAGGCCGACGAGACCGTAGAGGAGTCCGAGGGCGCACCCAGTGCCGAAGACGGCACCACCGGAGAACCCGAAGAGATCGAGCCTGCACCGCAGGAGAGCACCGAGGACGCTAGGTCCGGGGAAGAGGATGGCAAATCCGGAGAGGAGGACGCCAAGTCTGGAGAGGAGGATGCCAAATCCGTAGAAGAGGAAGTGAAATCCGTCGAAGATGACGTCAAGTCCGGGGAAGAAGACGCCAAGTCCGAAGAAAAGGTCCAATCCCAGGAAGAGAGTGCCAAGTCCGAGGAGGAATCCGAGGAAGCCAAACCCAGGAAGCCTCGAGAAGTTGGAGACGAAGACACCCCCTCCGACGAGGCCGTCGATCAGGACGGAGCGTCGAAGGAATCCGGAGAAGGTAACCACGTTCCATCTAGATATCCTCGCGGATCGCCGCAAATATGAAAAAAACCTCCGGGTCGAGGTTTGTCCATAAAGGGTCGAAAGCCAACCCTGGCCATAAATCGACTCACCGTGGCGCGCGTCGACGTACCCGAAGACCCTCTTTCCGCGGAACAAGGATTCCGCGGACATGTTTCGCCTAAGAATAGACAAGCGTTGCATCGAGCCCTTGCACTAAATTTAACCCGCTCGCGAATGTAACCGGGTAAAGCGAGGATTACACACGGGAGCGATTCTAGAGACTCGTGATGGTTTCAGCAGGGTCGGACGCCGAGGAGGAGCTGAGCCCGGAAGAGGACCTGATCCAGGAGATCGAGGTCCCCGAGGTCCTCAGGCCCCGGGAGCACATCAACCAGCTGCTGAAACTGGACGAGGAAAACGAAGAAAAGGAGCGAGCCGTCGAGAAGGTCGCCGACGTCGTCCTGAAGGACCTGAAGAGGCTCTACGACAACGCCATCAAGCCCCTGGAGACCCTCTACAAGTACAGAGACCTCAGCAACAGGCACTTCGGAGGTAAAAGGCCGCCCCTCGAGGACCTTCTCCTAGGGATTGACCCTGGGCCTTCCTCTTCCAGATCCCGAGATTTTCTCCAAGCCGTTGGTGCTCTTCATGGGGCCCTGGAGCGGTGGCAAGTCCTCGATCATCAACTACCTGCTGGACGTGGAGTACAAGCAGACCTCTCTCAGGACGGGTAAGTGGAGGATCTTCGAGATCCGCCCCAAGGGTCTAGGGTTCGTTCGGATCCCTAGGGACTCCTGGATCCCCTAACCGAGCCTCGTCCTCGACTAACGGAGAACAGTGTCTAGGCCCTCGAGAACCTCGCGAACTTCCCAATGGGACTGATGCAGGAGCCGAGCCTTCCCCGGCGTACTTCAACATCCTGATGTACGGAGAGGAGGAAGAGGTCCTCGACGGGACCCAGCTGGCCGCCGACTGGACCTTCTCCGGACTGCAGAAATTCGGCCAGGGCATGCTCGACCGCCTCAGAGGGCTGAGGCTCCACAACGAGTTGCTGAAGAAGGTGACGATTCGCTCCTCGAGGCGTCCGGAGACGAACGACTCGATTAAGCTCCTATTCCCGATCAGGTCAACATCGTCGAGATACCGGGGATCCTGGAGATCAGGAAGCAGGTGCAGCGGTTGTTCCCCTTCAACGACGCCTGCCAGTGGTTCATCGACAGGGCCGACATCATCTTCCTGGTGTACGACCCCTCTAAGCTGGACGTGGGACCGGAGACAGAGGCGATTCTGGACCAGCTGAAGGGACGCGAGTACCAGGTAATGATCTCTCCCAGGAGAGGAGCCTCTTCAGAGTCGAAAGTAGACGCAAGGGCGATGACGTCAATAACTGGATCCGTATTTGTATCCCCAGACGAGGATCGTCCTGAACAAGGCCGATCAGGTGAAGCCCGAAGAGCTGATGAGGGTCCAGGGTGCCCTGATCTGGAACATCTCGCCGTTGATGTCGAGCGCCGAGCCGCCCATCATGTACTCCACGTCCCTGTGGTCGCTTCCATATGAAGCCGGGGCTCCGACGAGGCTACTCCTTGCCCAGGAAAGGGCCTTCCTTCGGGATCTCCGCTCGGCAGTCGACAAGAGGGTCGAGCATAAAATCGCCAGCGCCAGGAGATTCGCCGTAAGTGGAAGTAATCTCGAGTCGTCGTCAGGATTCTCCACTGGAGTCTCTTCCAGGTACGAGTGCGCAACCACGCCAAGATGGTGGACTGCTACCTGACGACCTACTACAACCACAAGACCTTCTTCGGGAACAAGAAGGAGGTCAGCGACAGGATCGTCGAGAATCCACAGGACTACCACATCTACGAGGGCCTGAGCACCCTGACGAACATCTCCCGTTACGATCTCCCGGATCCCGACGTCTACAGGGACTTCTTCAGGTTGAATCCTCTCTACGACTTCCCCCTGCTGAGCTCGACCTGCACGTACTTCCGGGGCTGCCCCATCAACAGGCTGGACGTAGCCATCGCCTACGACCTGCCCGAGTTGGTCGGCAAGTACAAGAAGTCGGTCGAGGCGGTTCTCCAGGAAGTCGAGGCCGGCACCCCGGCCAGCTGAACTCGAAGAGAGGACCCGTGGGGCCGAGGCTCTCGACGCGTCGTTGGGAACGATTGGACGGGACGAAGAGGCTTTCTTCCGGGGTCCGATATTCGCGATCACGACGTAGGCCTTGGGAGATTCTCCTCCGGATTCTCGGAGAGATCCCACGGTGTCAGGATCGGGAGCCCCATTCAAGGCAAGATTTACACTAAAGACAAAGAAAACAAGGTCCTGCTAGAGGTTTTTTGTTCCTCGTGGTTTTAGAGACTCAAGCCCGGTTCCACCTCCAGGGAAGGCTCCGATGAAGGTGGATCATCCTTGTCGATACCAGATTTCAGGTCTTCGTTCCATCATTCCATACTGACAGCGACCTGCAGATTATGTCCTCGAATCGTGCCTGACATCGGAGCCCTGGAGGTGCCCTTCGAGTCCTCTGTGTAGAGGGATTCTTGGGCTGCCGGAGAGTGCTCATAGATTTTCACAGACTGTTCCACAGCCTGCTCCGAAGGGGGAGCACTGCCACGCTGGTCTTGTCCAGGCCCACCGGACGAAAGTAACTTGTACTTCTACTGTAACTGTATCGAACGATTGTATACACGTATTTCCACTGTGAGAGAAGGGCTGCGCTTCTTCTAGGTTTGTACCGCTTTTAGTACCTTGGTACCAAATGATATTCAATGATGTAGGATGCCGAGCTGTCACGGAAGACCGATGGGAGTCATGCGTCACATGGTTGCACCGTTTTCACTTGTGTCTCGTGTTGACCATTTTCACTCACATCATCGATGCACCTCTTTTGCGCACACTTTGGGTTAATCTGTCACACTTTTCTCTTCTTTTTCTTGTCTTCTTTCTTCGCTGTTATCTGCATTTTGTAGTCACGTTGAAACCATGTAGAGCAATCTTAGTCGTTCGCGCATCGATGCCCTCGTCGAGTACCCTGTACGATACGAAGCCCCACACTTCAAAACCGTCGACTTTGCTCTAGCCATATCCATTGCTCACAGATCACCGATAGAGTCTTATCCGACATTGTATTAAGTTACGTTAATGTTACAATTATACTTTATTGTTTGATAATACCGTAATGAATATACCCTATCATATCGTAAGGAATATTGTTACAGTGTATTTAGGGTAAGTAGGGATACTCCTCCGGATCTGGTGGTGGTCTACTATTTGGAGAAATGTATTTCTAATAAGATCGTGTGCCGTGAGTGACACTTGTGTACAAGTACGTTGTCTTTCCCCGAGCACGTACCCGCCTCTGATATTTGCTAATTTTTGTATCTCGCGATCGTCGTTCCGACGTTCGTACGTATACTCGACATCGAGGTGACGATATCAAGCGATAGAAAAAATATACACAGCATGATTTATTTTAGTCTTTTGTTTCATGGCCTCTGGGAAGCTTAAATATATTTGGGGGTCATCTTGGTACTTCGATACGGATGTAGCATGCACGTGTCTATAATTAATACTAAAGGGATGAAGCATGGATATACTTACGTTTGGAGTGACTTCGCGTAGCCATTCGTCTGCCTGTTCGTCGAAGTCGAACTTACAAGCGAGTCTCAAATCGTTCGCAGCTTCCTCCCAATTTCCAAGTAGTTGGTTAGCTCGACCTCTGAACTTGTGTGCGGCAGCACTGTCCGGATTTAATTCCAATGCACGGTCGCAGTCACGGATGCAAGCATTCGGTTTGTTTAGTAATAGGAAAACCTGGCCACGTTTTGCGTACAATAGAGCAGCATGAGGATTTAAAACAATTGCTTCCGTGTACAATTCAAGAGCCTTTTCGTAATCTTTCTCAACGAATGCGGACACAGCCTGAGAGCGTTTCTCCTGGGATTCAGCTATTTCTTCCTCCGTTGGTTGCACAGTAGGATTACCCATTTTCTGAGGGGCGTCGGTATCAGGTTCTAGAAATATAAAAATAAAAATAAAGTAAAAAAAACTAGTCTTACCATAAATGTAAAATTTCAGCCTTCCTTAGACTAATATTTTCTGTTATTTTAGTTGTAGCCTCGTGTATGACAAAAAACTTACCGATAACACCAGTCATATCCAGCTCGATGTCGCTTTCTTCGCTTTCGGACTCAGGTTGTACTTCTGTCTCTTGTTCCATACCGGTGTCCGAGGTTGTAGGTGCACTTTCGCTCTTGGATCGATCGGACTCTTCCGATTCCTTCGGGGGTATTTTTCCTCCAAAGTGTTCGATCAATTCCTTGAGCTCTGCGAGATTAGGGTGATATAAGATCGACGGATCTTCCATACACTTCTGGGTGTAGGCTCTCAAATCAGCTTGCAATTTCTCCGGCACAGGAATCGACATGTTGACCTGAAACAAATATACGGATCACTCTGTTATAATATTCCTTGTCAATGGAGTAACTAGACGCTGGAAGTCAATGCAGGACATGATAAAATTATTTCTGAATACGTCGTTATCGCTTGCCAGAGTGTTATCAGACCGCTTATATCATCGCCGAATTCGCCAAAACAAGTGCAAAAGATCGGTGGTGCATGTACTTGTGCCGGTACCGGCGCAAGATAACAATGACTCGGGAAATTGCAGATACTGACTACCGAGAACGACTTCCGTTGGAAAGGTTACCTCTCGAGATGGAAAATCTAAAGTACTTACGATTTCTGAAAAGATATATCAGCTCACAACGTCTCTTAACAGAAATTCGGTAAAGTCCTCCTTAAAATAACAAATTTTACGAAAATGCGTAACTCCTCCAAATCAGTAACGCGCCACCAATGTAGTGCCACCTTGAAAGGTATGAGCTGGTATGTCTTCGAGGAAAAATATTCCCCAGAAAATGTCATCAATTTGCAGGTTGCATCGTGCTTAAATTCCCTAGAAAATTTGCTCCAACTTGACTGAATAAATATACTAACGCTACTTAGAATCAACTTTTTAGTGAAAGGTAGACCTTCTCCTTTTATTATCTACTTCATGAACATGATTGTACATTATCGCAGTGTTTGTAAACATTGCAGGTGGCAACAGGTTGAACAGGTTTGCAGGTGATTCACACCCACGTGCATAGATTAGAACCACTGAACAGGTGATCTGTAGAAGGTTGTGCATGATTTATCTTATTCCGTACACGAAGTATCGAACTGATGCAGAAAAGTATGCTCAAGCATGAAAACATGATGAAATATCTGAACGAATACGAACGTTATGTTGTGGAAATTAGGAGTTATGCAAAAGAGAATAATATTACAGAGACTGAAATTAATGAAATCTTTGAAGACTGTTTTTGCTTACTTAAGAGGAAGTACGCAAAGAGAACGATTGACTTGGCCAAGATTGTAAGGATCGTCGTAGCCAGCATCCTGATTCTGTGCCTATGTCTCGTCTTCATATACAATCATCCATATTCCCATCGCTTTCTTCTTAGAAATTTACAAGACTTTATTTATCCGGGAATGAGGGTGTTGCGGAAGTTTGCTGTACCTGTTATTACAACGTTTCCTTGGTTGACAGGTATACCGAATGAAAATGCTAATTTCTTAACGGTACCTTTGGTTCTATTATAGGAATTACTTTCTGTTACTATTTTTATTAATTAGAGTTCTATGATGAGTGGTGCTTGGTGGAGAATCCATTTTTCCGTGTCAAGGACATGGATTGCCGACCCTGCGAGTCCGTCAAGTCGGTTATAGATTTGACAGGATATAACGTTACTTCAACATTTGATATCGGTCTTCCTTTTATACGAAGAGAAAGTCATAAGGAAGTAACATTTTCTGACTTAGTTGAAATGTATCGGAACAACCATATGGTCTTTGATAAAGAAGCATACAAGGTTTCTTCGAATAATGGATCATTCCGGTAATATTTACTTTCATAAATGTATTATTCACTGGTGTTTAATATAATTTTCGTATTATTCTTTGCAGAACCATTGCAGATATGATCGAGAAAAGAATGGATCTTTATCCCTCGGATCTCCAACTGTCTCACATATCATGGAGGATAAATCGCATGCATCCAGCAAGGTCTATTCGCAAACTTTTTCCTCGCCCTGCTGAAGTGCCAAACTGGCTGAGCCAAAGTACCGAGAAATTTATTTTTATAGATGAACCAAAAGCCCCTTCGTATGCTCTTGTGAGTGGATAAGAGTTTTAAAAGATTATACAATACAATATTTTATACATGTTATATTTTTTTTCAGCCTAATGCAGAGTGCAGCAATATTGTGATAAGATTAACCAGTGGTGACCGATTGATTAGGTTAATGCCTAGTCCAGACTGTGCACAGAAATGCAAGCCATTCACCGTATTACTCTCTAGCTCTTATACTCGTATGTTGATTACATCATGAAGGTTTTTTAATGTAATTGATAACAGATACTGTCATAAATTATGCATAATTTCTATTTATTTTAGTTTGGTACAATTGGTGGTATTGGAGGCCAGTCAGTCTACCGCTGACTAATTCGTCCACTATTGCAGTATCCTACATGACATCGTTCTGTTAAGTACTCACAAAACGGGTGCAACCATTTTTATACTACCTCAACATTTTGATAATGTAGATCATTTTTTAATAGTCTCATGATATGTTAGATTACAGTATCTATTATGTCAGTACAAATGTAATTCTAAGTGAATCTAGAACTACTTCAAAGATGTGAGCGGTACAAGCATTCCATAAATTGTATAAGTGTAAGATACAATATTTACATATGCATTGTTTTATTATTTTATCGTCATGAAATTGTGGAAGAGGTACATTACATACATATGTATAACCAATTCGCACTCACATGGAATAAATTATCGACTATAGCTTGGACAATATTCAGATGTGCTCCAAGCATGCACGGTGTTTATTTCATAATAAATACGTGCGCGAATCCATTGACTTAAATTGATTGGTCTAGTAATTATTTTCTACTTACACAAAGTAAGACCGGAAATAAAATATAAAATATGCCTGATGTGAAAATCGAACATTTGATTCAATGAACACCATCGAACTATCAAAATACATCTTATGGAAATTACTTAAGAGACTTTAGTAGATCGTTTTATTCAAACTTCTGTTTCAATCTTTGTTTAAATAATATAGGAACCAGAGATAACAGAGCAAATGCACAAAGAATTAATATGCTATTCCAGGACCATGCATCGGCAGATGAAGTCAGTTTGTTTAGAGTTTGACCTGCTTGTATTGCTACAAACGATGGTGGTGCTACGCCAAAAAATGTACCCACTGTGAAAGGAACTAGGGGCACACCGATTACAGGACTGGCCAAATTTATAAACCAATTAGGCAATAATGGAGTCATTCTCAGAAAAAGCATGTAATTGAGTAAATTATCCCGATGCTTCTTCACGGTAACTGTCCAGTCATTTGCTTTCTCCGGGAAGTATTTAAATAGTAACTTCCGACCCAGTAACGACGAAAGGAGATAACACAATGTTGCTCCTAGGGCACTGCATGTACATACCAACAAAAGTGCCAGTGGAAATGGAAAGAGAAATCCAGATAGAATGGACAAGAATATTGATCCTGGTATTGCGAATGTTTGTAAACTATTATTAAACATAAGGAAAATAATCCTGTAAATTGTTGTAAAATTTGGTAATTACTATAGAAGTATAAGCCGAAAAAGGATACAAAATGTACACGATGAATAACCCAGCTAAAACCTGGAAATAGTATAAATCTTTGTACCTTCCAAGCAATCTTCCCAAATTCTTTGCATCTTCTATGTGAAACGGCAGTTTCATGTACTGTTTCTCATCTCTAAAATTTGAACGAATTATCTCCTGAATTAATTATTAAGATATTGATGTATGTCAAAATTAAGCCACATACTCTTCCAATTCTGGAAAGCTCGCATATACATAAGCGAGTGACAGGATGGACAGTACAAAAATTAATCCCACCGTCAAGACAGCCCTCTGCGTAGAAGTTTCATTATCAGTGGTAAACTTTTGACTCCCTAAAAATAGCACAATGACCATTAGAAAACTACCATTTACTAACTGAAATTCCAAAATTATGTAGATATTTTATTTTACAACAGCAGCACCTGACACCTCACCTTTTCTTGGCCTTGTTTTTGTACTCATTTTCAAAAACTGGTTAACCTATTTTTATGATAAACCGTGGAGTAACGTTAACATCAATTAATTACAATGCCTGACAATATCCGTCATTAATAAATAGCTAACAAGTACTGTTAGGTCTAATTAACGTCACAGAATTCTGAAAACCTAATTTGTTTCCGATCGCTGTTTTAGGATGGCCATTGATTACCACGGACACAGCTGGACACAGAAGTGCTCACCTGACATAATTCACGTGTTCATTTCCGGTGAAAAAAAATTAGTTCCGACGATGACGGTCAGATGGCGACACGACCTCGCGCCATGGCGCTATCGACGCGAAAATGCGAAACCATCGGGCAGCCGCAAAGTGCGAATTTTGAAATCCAACATGCCCAGTTTAAAAAACTAACTAACAAGAGTTCCCATTTAAGCTTCGTTACCCAAGACTCCGAAAAATCTGTTCTTTGAGTTACAGCCGCCTGCAGCTGGCGGCCTGGCTGCCAAGAGATGTCTACGATATTATATCATACAAGGGATTCCTATTATCCGGTGTCTATTTCGGTACTTCCTCTGGGCTCCCTCCGTTGGATGTCTAAACGGAAATACCTGTATCCAGATGTTCAACACACCCTCGACTCAAAACCAGTGGCCGAAAAGAAGACCGCCGTGCGTACACCTCCCGTGAGTAATTAAAACATCACCTAATGGAAAAACATATAAAAGTAAATTTAGTAAAACGCAAGTTAACCTCTCCAAGATTTCCTCCCCAGATACGTGGGCGTGCCGCTAGTGAAAGCAAAAAAGGGATCCCATAAAAAAGGCATTCGTTGGCGTACAGGTTGGGGGAGAGAAAGCAAGACGGGGAGGCCGGAAGATGCGTATCTCTGAGCGGCGTGTCTCAAATAGCTTAAAAGGTGCGGTAGCGAGCGATTAGGGGATCCGCCGACTCCGCCAGCATGCGGCCTATCCGGTCGCCACGAGGAGGAACGTGAGGACTCCATCGCTTTCCACGTAAGATTCCCCGAAGCCAATCTCCATCTCAAAGGCCAGAGGACGGTATACTCCTTCCCTCCGTTGCATGCATTTAACTCATTCGGTGAGAAACAACACAAATAACGAGAGAACTCCATAGGTGAGGTCTCGAGGAGGAAGCGGCATCGGGAAGTAAGCAAGAAGAAGAACGAAGAGGAACCCAAGAGGCGCACATCCGGCGTGTCTCAAATAGCAGAAAGATGCGGTAGCGAAGCGATTAGAGGAACACCCAGGGTTCTCTCCCGGCATGCAGTCCAGGCGGTGCCTGTGAAGAGGAGCACGAGGAGGACGCTTTCGGTCTCCCTCGTGCTTCCCTTCCCTGGGCCCTTCGGCGTCTCTTATCCCCTCATTCAATCGCCCCTCTTCTCTCTCTTCCGCCAAGTCACTCGCCCATTGACTAAGGGAAGCGAGCGAACGGGATTGGTCGACCGTGGGCGAGGGCTGCGACCCGAAGGGACCCAAGGCAGTCTTCAGGGGCGAGAGAAGCTCCCCTCTCCTCGTGGAAGAGAGACGAGTCCCCTCCAGGCTCGAGCTCGACCGTGGGCGGAAATTAGTAGTCGTTCGCGCTAGTCGCTGCTAGTCCGTGCTAGTCGCTCCGCGACCGTCTCTGGACGCGGACGGAAGGTGCCGAAGGTCACGTCGCGACCCTCAGGAAGTTGTAGCCCCGTTTCCGGCTTCGAATCTCTCGCGGTGACGCCGGAAATTCGTTGGATCTCCTCGATCCCCTCTTCCGGGGATTCTTCGGCTCTAGCTCGCCCTGGCCTGCGGACTCGTTCCTCTTCGGGAGCCTCTCCGCGGTCTGTCGCGGAGACGGTGGTACCCCGCGACCCCGCGCTATGTGGTTCGCCGGCTGTCATTCCGGCGCAGGAAGTGCGGCTAACGGGGTTCGCCACGAGACCGGGTACGATGGCTTCGATCGGTAGTTGGCTCCGATACGGAATTCGGTGGGAGGTCCGCGAGAGTGGTGAACGCCCTTAATCGAGGTGAATTTCAAAGGTCGCCGTACGTGCCAAGCGAACCACCGTTAAGCTTGGCCGTTGACACGCGGTGCATTCGCGATTAACCTAGGTAGAAATCGCGGTAGACTAGGATTACCTCGGCGTAGCTGCGATTTAATGTATAAATCTATCCATGTAGCCCGCAGTTGGATAGAGAGCGGCCTCGCGGCGGTCCGCATAGTATCATGCGAAGATTATCATGGTGACCACGTAGCGACCGTTCCACATCCGAAATTAGAAACGGCCGATCGGAAGTGTAATACCGGAGGTGTTGCAACACCCCGGTGCATCCGGTTATCCCGATTAACGGCGGCATTCGGAGAAACTTTTGTACGCTAGGCCCGTGTTTACTCGGCGGGATTTCGTTGGAATATCTTCACGCGTTCCCGGTCGGTCACGTCACGGGGAGGAGAGGGACCGGCCGTAAAGTTTCGCATGCGAGAATCGCCTCGATTCGGCGAATCGAGTCCCTGTCGGTTCGTTCTCCGGTATCGAGGAAGCGCATCTCGAGGTGCATCGCCGCATCCTCCAGTGGCAGGTCGCTGGAGGGGGCGCGAGAGGACGTCTCTCCGCGCGTTTAGTCTTAGCCTTAAGTCTCGAGGATAAAGAGGTGACCAGGAACGTGTCCTTGCTTCCAGGTGATGCCGAAGGAAGCTTGTACCGGGCTGCTGATCGTGACACTGGTGCTGGTAGGCAGCCTGTCCCGCCTCGTATGGACGAGGAGGACCTCTCCAGGGTCTCCTGGGTCTTCGGGGAGGCAGCCGATCTGCAGGGCGGGCCTGGAGTTCTGGTCGGCGGAGCGGCTCGGCTGCGTGCCCTGCACGATATGCGCCCCGGACGTCACGGTCAGTCCCTGCGCGATCCACAAGGACGCGACCTGCGGCCCGCTCTCCGCCCTGGAGCTAGACTGGTCGTTCCTCTCTCGAGGACGAAAAAAGGAGTCGGAAGCGCCCCTGGACTCGAGGGTCCTCTGGCCGTTCCCGGGGGACCGGGAGCAGCGGCCCGGCCCCTTAGACGACGTCCTGCTGGAGCTCGCCTCGGGTGGCGAGAGTACCGGGAAGCTCGGCGACGAGTACGAGGAGGTATCCCGATGAGGAGGTCGTCTTGAATACCGTTTCCGCGGAGGGAAGGAAAGGATCCATTTATTAGACCCCGTTTCGTTTCAGAGGTGGATAGAGGACGTCCTGGAGAGGCGATCCGACCGAGAGGAGACAGGGACCTACTGGGACCTGCAGACCGGTACCCTGATCCTGGCGGTCTGCGCCTGCATCCTTTTCTTCACGGTCGTCGGCCTGTCCGCCCTCGTGTACGCCAGGCAATGGCGCAGGATGAAGAAGAACTTCCAGCCAGGTAGCGCTCCGAAAATCCACCCTGAATCGTCTCCCTTCCCCGGACGCTTTACGTCTACGTCGCAATCGGTTACATCACGTGCTCATTAATTTGTAAACCATCGATGCGCCCATCAAGGCATCGCCGTCTGTGCCGTGCATTTCTATCGCCGGCTGCAAGTCGAAGACGAGCGCGTACGCCGCGAATCGGAAGCGCAAACTGTATGAAACGCCCTACCGTGTCGACGTATCGAAAATATCGCCAGCAATAAAGGTCCCCTTTAAATTAATATTCTCGCTCCAAAGAATATTGATTTAAAGTGCGGCCACGATTTTAAATCCCCGCGCGCGTCGTGGTTCCCGCTTTCGCCGGCGGCGCTGTCGTCGAGCGTTTCATAAGGCACCGCCTCGATGGCGGGATTTTTCCACGCGCACGTCCGCTGATCTCAATCGATTCCGATCGATTCCTAGGTAGCTTAAAATGCACGGCGGGTCTCTCTTCATTGGAGGGCCGATCACGGCCTCTCTCTCTCTTTCTCCCTCTTTCACCTTGGCTCGACCTACCGCGCCCGGATGTGACGTAAAACGCGCGCAAGATCCTCCCGTCCCCGCGGTGCACCTCACAGGTGTCCTCAGGTATCCTCACCGCATTCGAAGCAAGGCCAGGGCGTTACCGATTTTCCTCTGCATGGACAAATACGTGTACTTAGAAATTAATTACATATCTCTAACAGACTAATTACTGTCCGCAGCAGGCCTCGAAGAGATCTTCGCCACGCTGAACTCGATGGTGAAGGCTGAGCTGGCGGAACTCCCGTCGGAGGACCCGACGAGCGCTCACGATCCGGAGAACGGGTACCAGTGCCTGGAGAAGCTCCTAGGTGGCAAATATACATTTATATATATAAAAATATCCCTGTACGAGATGCGCAGAAATGTCCGATGCCAAGATGGGCCTCTTACGCGGTTCTCTTGAATTTCCGCAGACCGAAAGCCCGCGACGCTCGGCTGGCGCGAGGACGGGGGTAACCTGTACATCGAGGAGGGCAACAACTCGGCGAGCAGGCACCTGGACATCGTCCAGGTCCACAGGAACGTCGAGAGGACGAGTAACGATATGTGACCCCGTAGGGAGGAGTTCTCGCCCTCGTCCAAGTACAACTGTACAGTAGTAGCTCTATGAAATTACCATTACCGACCGGTTAAACCGGACCGTTCGTGCCTCTACCGGAGGTCGTCACTTTCTGGGTAAGGATGGCGAGTCACCCCCTCGGCTAGAAAGGCCGAGACGTACCTAAAAGCGAGTAGGAGGAGGTAGGACGAGCAAACCGTTCTTCATCGTCGTCGTGCCATGCAGCACGCGTCTATATACATAATGGACATGTTATGTATTTTAGCTTGTACCCATTACACCGTAAATAACATTGACAATAATTGCCATACTTGCAGTTAAATATAGTTTGTTTTGTTTACTCTTTTTTTTTTTTAATTAATATATATATATATTTTATATATATTTATATATATATATATACTATGTACCGAAGAGAAACATCCGCTACGGGTAGGGGTGCACCTAAGGCCTACGGAGGTTGCATTCATCATATTTTCGCACACCTACGCGCTCGTAGCTCCTCTACCTCCTATTATTCTCTATAACTTTAAGACTATGTTCTTTGTAAACGTGATCACAGTGTAAGGCGCTTCTCGAACTCGAACGTGGCGTCGAGCACGCGTATATCTCTGGTACCAATATACATATGTAACATATATATTATATCGTATCTCGCGTAACCCGAAGAAATTTTCCGGGGATTTTCAATCCCCGCGCGGTTCTCTCTTCCGACCTCTCGCTCCGATCCGCCGTTCGGATCGCTCCTCTCTTATCAACAATTTATCGCATCCCTATCTACACGCGCGACTTCTACGCGCCGCCAGATACGAGGCGATCGTTCCGATCAGGCACTTTAAAATGCTCCCCGCGGTTTGCGTCGAAACACTCAGAAAAATATGATGAACACGCTGTTCGTTACGTTAGAGGTAATTCTAAAAAGGTAATTCGTGGCGAATGATGCTAGGTTCGGCCGAGAACGGCGAGGGATCGGTACCGCGGCCCGGACATTGACGATAAAACGTGGAAATAAATGTGCCCATAATTATATATAAATAACCTGGCATGCGAAAAGCATCCGCAGCCCGACTGGGAACGGTCCTTGACCATTAGATTCGACGGTTAAAATAAAAGTCCGACTTGCGACCTCGCTCCCGATCTCGCCGAGGTCTAGCCTCCGTCCTCCTAAACGCTCGCGTTATATCGGATCCAGCCCGTTCGTCCCAGACTCTCTATTCAGTCGAGTGTCACATTTCCACGGTGAAAAACAAAAAGGGGGAAAAAAAAAAAAATATAATAAGCACCCTTCTCTCTCGTCCGACATAATCTTTCTCCTTTCCACGCAGAGACGTCCTCCCGGAGTGCCGTCCGTGCGTCCTAAAATCTTGGAATGCAAGGCAATAAATTACTTAAGAGCTAGCTAATGATAATGGCGACGATGGCGATGAGGATGGACGATGTGTGATCGGCGACGTGACATTAAATAATATAACTCGATATAACACGGATGCCCGGCCAAATTGCTAGACGGCCGATTTGAAACACTAGCGCGCTTTATGTCCGCGTTTTGGTACCTGACAGGTGCGAGCGCACGCACTCGCGATTAGGGCGCGTCCTACGCGTTAACACCTTGGGATTAATAAATAATATACATTTGTCGACGGTTCCGGGGTGTACGCGCACCGAGGGAGGGTTTAAAAGACCCTCCGTGCGCGCACACCCGACGACCCACTCGGTACCGAGCGCACACCCGCAGCCAGGTACGCAGGCACGCACTGGGGGGCACCCGCGTGTGCCCATCCGAGCGAAGTCTCATCCGAGACCCGGCCGCGATAAGGTCGAAATTCCCGCGTCTGGTCTCGGGATTTTGGACCTTACCGCGGACGCTCACCGCGGGTCCCCGATCGACTACCCTCCTTTGTACTACTCGGTCGCACCGTGCACGCGCGTGTACTGTTACACTCTCGCAACCCTCCTCGTAATACTCTCCTGTACAAATATTTATATATATATCAAAATATTCATCTCGGGCAGGAGGGCTCGACCTCGGCATCGCGTCTTCGAGGTCGAGCCCTCCGGCGCGACGCTTTCCTCCGCCGGTCGCGTGGACCCGGGGGACTCCTCCTCGAGAGGAGTCCCACCCGTCTCACCCTCGCGGCGTCCCGTGGAATAATCCGCGTTCGGAGTCATCCGAAATTGCACGAAGCTCTTCGAGGTCTCGGCCAGGCGCGAGAAAGGCAGGGTTCGGGGCGCGTTAGCACGTCCTACGATGGAGCTCCGTCATAACGACGTTTTCCCCGCTTTCCCCTAATTACAGACACCCTCTTCGAGGGCACTGGAACGTCCTCGTCCGACTATTGCACCTCGTCAGCGCTATAACGGAGCTCCGATTGCAGCCGGAAGACTCGAGCCGCGAACTCGAGCCTCCCGAGGCCCCGCACAAAATTTACAGACAATTTCCTAAGACTACTCGAGGCCCGCCTTATAAGCGGCCATGGAGCCTCGTCGTTCTCTTTCCTTCGAGGAAACTACTCCCTAGGGATCGGGCTCTTCGTGGATTACCGGCCGAGCCGCCTATCTAAATACTACTACGCTAACTACACGCTACGGATACAGCTCGGAATAAATCGGTAAAGCCCCTCTGGACGGATCGTTCACTTGCTGACATCACGAATTGATGGACGAGTGAGTTGGCAATTGCGTTAATTCCTCTCCCTCCTCTCTCTCTCTCTCTTCTCTGTACAAAAGGAAATCAACGACGAAAGGAAATTCGGGAAAGGCACGATCTGCCTCGCTAGTGGTACGGTCTAACGAGGTCGGAGATTGCGCGACCACGGGAACCGGCGAACTCGGGCGACGCCGGACTCCTCTTCGTCGCTTGACGTCCGGCCTCGCCCGAGATGCGGCTCCCGAGACGCGTCTACATCTCCCGAGTGCGTAAACTACGGTACGCGGAGGACAATCTACGCCCCGGACGCCTCGAAAGCGATCGAAAACGATCGGACGCCACTCGACGCTCCTCTCGTCGCCCCCCTCGGTTACTGATGGCTTTTGCTCAGTAAATGCGAATTGAATTGGTAGAGGTTGCAGCACTGCTCGCCGCAAATGTTGCACTTCCAGGGGTTGCTCTCGCTGTGGCATCCCTTGTGCAGAAAGTAGAGCGTCTGGTCGGGGAAGGTAATCCTGCAGTGGGTGCACTGGAGGCCGGTGGTGCGCGGGTCGGGCCTGGTCGACGTTGGAGGCTCGCCTCTGGAATGAGGGCTGGAGTTTAAACAACTACTGGTATTGTTGTTGTTGTTCCCCGTATTGTTATTGTTGACGCTCTTGTTGTTGTTGTTATTATTTCCAGGATTGAGCCCTCCGCTGTGGTTGTTGCCCGTGCTGCTGTTCGAGCTGGTGGAGAGCTTTCGACGCAGGTCGTCTCGGAGTAGAGACTTCAACGGAGAGACCTTGATCAACGATGGCAGGGGTAAACTGCTCGACGTCGCACCGTTCTCGTCCAGCCCGTTGCTGTTGGGCTCTTGCTTTATAGGGATCAGGGAAATGGAGGGCGTGATCGTTTCCTCGCCTCCACCTACGTTCCTGAAGAATGGTAATTTGGACCTGTACGAAGAGAGCTTCGAAGGTTGGTTTCTGGGTTGCAGGGGTAAGGGGACTCACCTGTGGACTACCGTGCTGTTAATTGCCAGCTGATGGTGGTGACTACTGCTCGGGGCATTGCTGTTGCTGTCCGCACTCTGGGGACTGTTGGGACTGTCTCCGTTCAAGGGTGCCGGACTCGAATTTCCCTGGCCTGCGGCTTGCTCCGGGTAAGGAATGGATATCTCCACGTGAGGTGTCAGAAAGTGCATTGGTGGAGTGGCATTGTCAGCCGAACGATTCCCTGTGCTGTCCCCACTGTCCGATAGGGGAGCCGATGACATTGCTTCGCTCGGAGTACAGCTGTTCATCACCGACGAGGAACTACCATTGGGTCCCGGATTGTCCAAATCTATACCATGCCTTATAAAACAAGCGTAGGTATTTTTAAGCATGAAACGACTGCGATTAAGATTCTTAACTTCTCACGTCTTCTTCGAACGAGCTGTACCTATTAAAGAAATGCAATCTGAGACACTTCATGGTGGCTGCTCGGTAGTTGCAGAGTGGACACGATTTCACCATGTCGTGCTGGCCGACGTGCTCATTTTGGAAATGCGCTCGCATCGCGATCTGTCGCTGGAAACCTCGATTGCATATTGGACAGTGATAAGGCAATGTCTTTGAATGAGTCGTAAAGTGCTCCGCCAGGTGGTCTTTCCTGAAGAACCTTTTCTGACACACCCGGCATTCGTACGGTTTGACCCCCGTATGCCTCATCTAATTTAGAATAAAAAATATATTTCAATTTTCTAACTATTGAACACGCTTTGGATCGGTAAGATTATCATGGTTCTTACTTTATGCCGCCTCATGTTGGCCCCATTAGAAAATTTCATGTTGCAGACATCGCATTCGAACATCTTCCGGTGGGACCTATGCCCGGAGTGGCCTTCTTCCAAGTCGCCATCATTTTCCACGCCTTCGATACCCTCGGTTCCCTCACCAGCGTCACCACCGATTAAACACTGATCTTGGTGTGCACAAAATGCTGTTTTATTTATAGTTTCATAGTTATCGCAGCGTTCGCATCTACAAAATGTCCCACTTTCAGTTTATTTCAATTGGAAATGGAAAGGTAGAAGATGGAATCCAAGTCGAACCTAAAGGCAGGCACGGCACCGTCGCTGCTGTCATAATTTGTGTTCAAGGCAGCTTCATTGTCAGGATCTAACGCGTCGTCCTCTCTGTGACTCGTAGAGTCTCCGGCTTCGGCATGCGAAGAGGAATGAGAATCTACCTCGTTTTCCCCGCCGCCGCCGTCAATCCCATCTGACATGATACCGAGCAGCGGGGCTATGCCGTGCCCTTCATTTAATCTGCGTTAAAAGGATGGTCGCATCGTTAACAAAACTTTATATAAGTCTCTAATATACGTATCACTTGAAACTTTGGACATTTAGCTGGAATTAACCATCGTTAACTCCAATGCAATTTATCTCTTCACTGGATACAGTCCAGAGCTTCGATCATCGAGATATACATGCCACCCAGTACGTATCAATCGAGATACGACACGCACGAATTATAATCTACGATATTATTCACCAGTGGATATACATACGACTTTACATAAACTACGAACAAGAAGTACAGATCGAGGAGCAAGAGATGCGAGCACTGGAAAGGCACTCCGAGGCCGATGGTCGTTTCGAGATCCTCCCACAGTTTCTCCTGTTTTCCGTTTCTACCTTCTGCTAATTTCTCTCGTTAATTCCCCAATCACTGTCCAAAGTTCCAGGTATTGGCCCGCCGTGGCAGATCGGGTATTTCAGAGGAATAAGGCGCAACGGCGTACGGGCATTAGGTATTACCCAATCCTGGGAAGATTACGGCATAGAAACACCTGGCGGTGGAGCGCAATGCCAGAGTGCAGTGCACTTTGTCCCAGTTTTGGCCGAATCCGTCACTCGTGACGCAGTTTTCGCGGCTTTTTCTCGGGGCCGTCCCTCGGGGCTGAGGGCCACTTGGCGGCCCTTCTTTGCTACTTACTCGCATTCCGCGGCCAGCGGTGTCCGCTGCTACCTCGGCACTTCGGCACCGTCGTTCCTCGATACCTACGACCGCACGCGCATTCTTATTTCATCTCTTCCCTTTTTCACCGCGGGCACACAAATAAAATGTAACGGAAGTAAGAGCTATCCGTATTCTCGTTCACCGATATCAGGACGCAGGCCTGTCAACCTTAACCTCAAAAACCACTGGGAATGGACGTGTTCTGCGCGCCGCCTCCTCGTCCCTCCGATCTGCCTGTTGTAAAAGAATCCCATCGAGAAATGATCGAACTGGGCCCACGTTCTGAGAATTTTATCGCGTTCAATCATTCGAAGCATCTCCGTGAAGAATCTCGCCGAATTCCTCGCGAACATAACCTCGATTCTCGACAATTCTCCAGGGTGACAGTTGGTACCCGCTGCAAAAGCACCTTGCGGTACCCGCGTCATCTTTCGAAGAGCGTGAGAACTTGCAGGCTGCACGTGCAGATACCTGCTGACAATTTTCCGCTGCGCTGGCTCGGTCGCCATCTGGAGGGATTTCGGGAGAACTAAGGTCGACATTTTGGATGCGCGGCGGGGACGGGTGTCAATCAATGCCGCGTGTCAATGGACGTCCCCGGCTTGCAAGCATTCCCTTTCAAGGCGTGTCCGTGAACGACCGCGAGGCGTGACTTCCAGTACTCGTTCGCGGCCTCGAGATTCGTAAATCCGCCTTGTTAGGAAGAAACGGAAACCTGTCAGTCCGCAGTAGTCCGCGTCCCTCTTTATCAACGGAGCCATATCTCGCGTGCGAACTTCAGCGGGATCGCGAAGTGCCTGTTAATTGTGGAAAAACGTCGTGTCGCGGTGATTCCGCGGCCGCGGTCCACGTTCCTGCGGATTCACAAAGTAATTCTCTCAACTTGGTGACTTTCTACCGTTCCGAAATCCTCTTGTGAAATTCGAAAACCTGACTCCTGTCGAAGCATAGGTTATGTGCTCATGGACGCGATGACACCTGTTCGGCGCTCACGGCCCGCCGAGCGGAACGCGACATAACCTCTTTGTCTCCCGGGCGTTGGCGATGGTAATTATCTTGCTTTTTATGCGTTTCTCCGTGCATCCCACGATTTCTCACTCCCTCCACGTGTCCTTGTATTTCTGCCCCGCCCTTGTGGCACCCAACCGTAGTTCTTTCATCAACGATCTCGATTACAATTGGCCATCGAATTAGATCGTCCCTGTGTTGACATTTAACGTGTGTGGTTTCACACATAAATTCTGCTTAATATATGTAGAAATTGTATACATTCTCAGAATCTTTGTGCTTATCAATTCTGCAAGGATGCTGCTCGTGGATGCGTCTAAATTACATCGTATTAGGTTACAGCTGTACGTTCTTTGTTTTTCTGTTTTTCTTGCGTTCTTTCTTCGTCCAGTTAAAGCTTAATCTCGATTGCAATTGATCGTTGATTTTGATTGTATCGCATTCGTCGGTGATGAGACTTTATTTAAATAGTAATAACTGTCCCCTTAATAATTCAGATATCAACGAGTTATGGGCAAAGGGGAAGAGAGCAACAGAATGGCGGCAAACGAGTCTTCCTTCTTGACGAGTCCTTCGATGGAAGCGAGCAAGATGCTCGAGGCTGCGTTACTACAAATGGATGGTATCATATCTGGCACGACCGGGAAAGGTAAGAAATCGATCATTTAATTCGGAGAATGCTGTATGATGATTCAATTAATTTTGGTAGGAATTTGCAACGAAAGTGGGATCGATTCTAACTTGGAACTTAAAGACCCGGTGAAAGATGCGACTAAAAATCTTGTACTGGCCATTAAAAGCGTCCCGCAACCCCCGTTACCACCTGACGCTGGCACGACTGAAATTTTATTACAATGGATGCAGCCGGTACGTACCTACTGTATAAATATCCATGGACTGCAAACCATTGCAATCGATCCCTGTTCCTCCACGTTGTAACGGCCATCTTAATCGATGCACTGCTAAGCCACGACACATGCTCTTCCTTATGACAACTAAAAAAATTTCCACTGCCCGACTAAAAAAACTTTGGTTCCAAGATCTATTTTTAGATCAATGTCTTCGTACTACTGGTGAAATAAACAAGGAGTCCCTTTTTGAATAAGGCAAGAGAAATCGTTCACTTAATCCACTGATAACATTTTCGATTCCCATAGTCTGACTTTGTCTCCCATCCTCCGTCTTCGATCTCTCTTTCTGAAAGACGAAAGCTGTTTTTCCCTCGTAAGAGGGGAGGTCCAGCATCCTCGGCAAAAGGGACGTCTGGCAAGGAAGAGCGGGGATGCCGGACGAGAACACTGGTCCCATTTATACGTACACGTGCGCCGTCTCGGTGGATACCACCGGTGTAATTTTAGATCATGCGAAGCAACGTCGTTGGGACCCTGCGCCAAGCTTATACTCAGTGTCCCTTAAGCGCTCTCGACGATTCGCCCATTCACCCTGCTGCGGCTCCAACGAGAAGGAAGAAAAAATCCCAGACAAAGGACGAAACGGTGGATCGAACGTTACAAAGAGAGGAAGAAAATTAACGGCGAAACAAGGGAGAGACCCGAGTATGTGAGATTTATCGAGTGTGAGAGAGAAAAATGGAAGGACCGCGAGATTCCACCACAGATCGCCAAGCTCTGGACCCGATCAGAGAAGAAGAGGACAGGAGCCACGTAAAAGGTTTCCATCCCTTTGAATTTCTCTCGATTTCAAATACAAAGTCAATCGCAGGCGCGTTCAACTCAACTGTTTCTCTTAATTATTTTAAATTCACTGCCGAAGCAGTCGATTAGTCACCGAAATTTTTTTTTTACCCGTTTCCGACTTAACGTAGCGAGGGTTAAGTTATCGGAGGGATTCAAAGGGAATGGACCTGGTCATGGAAATCCAGATTCGCAGTCGGAATCGTCGGATGCGGTGTCCACGGTGAAGAGGTGGCATACGAGGTGGACGCCCTCGGAAGCCTATGACTCTTCGGGAACCTCCTCTCCCTCGGAGGGTGAGAATAATTATTTGGAGAACCGTTTCCAAGAAGTCGTCGACCACCCGGCCTTCTCCAGCGACTACAGGGACGTCCTTGAGTATCCTAGGTGTTTCTGCCAGGTATCGGAGAGAGTATTTTTCTTCAAAGTAGACGTGAACTCACCGTCAGTCCTTCTTCCAGAACTGTACCTCGAGAGTCGCGCCCCGTTGCGGGATGGCCAGCTTCATGGGAAGTGCTCCGAACGTCTACGCAGCATCTACTTCGGAGCTGCGAAGTCACCCAGGGTACCGTCCCTTCTCTCGCTACGCAGCAGGATCCTCTGCAAGGTTTAACCCATAGCTTCAGGGTGTTTTGTCCCGAGAGAAAGAGATATCGGTGCAAATCCTAGCTTTTGATCAGCTGATAAGTGCGTAAACAGTGAGAATTCGTTAATTTCTACAGCGATTCCGGGGAGGCGAACTGCAGGCTCTCCTCCAACGATGGATCTTCCTCCAGTGTTTGGACCCCCTGCCAGGGTAAACCGCCCTGTCGGCTGCGACAATTTCGAGCCCCGACTACGGAGATGTCCTCGAGAGGCTGCTGCCACTTCGGGGCACCCATTGCAGTCGGGTCCCTCGATCGGAGGAAGAAGAACCGGACGTTTCGCAATAAATTCGAGAGAGACCAGAGAGCCAGATCCCAAAGCGATCTTCTGAGACTCGACAGGGAGAGGTCGCACTGCTGCTCGTGTTCCAACGATTTCCGAGTGAACCGAGGTTTCGGTGCCGATCAGGAGGTACACCGGCAACTCCAGTGATCGATGAAAATCACGAGAGGATGGTTTCCGATCGGTTTTTACTTTTAGAAAGAGAGAACGAACTCCCGATCCTTTCCTTCGTGCGTCACCTACCCTAAACGTGGATGATTTTTCGCATAAAAATGGAGATCAGAATTTTTATCAAAGCCTTTAGAATTTACTTCCATTTCAGGCGCGGCTCAGGAAATTGGAGAACGAACGAACGGCACTTCACATGGAGGTTTCCGTGCTCTCGGAGCAGGTCGAGGCGCAGTCCTGCAAAATCACCGAGCTAGAGAGTATGCTCCAGGAAAAGAAGGACTCCCTGAGGCGAATGGAGGAGGCACTCCAGAAAGTATGTAATGTGTAACGCGTCCCGAGATCCTCGAGATCATTTAAATATTTATTTGTTACCTGGGTATCGATGCTCGATTTTAGGAAGTGCTGTCGAGGAGTGCCCTGGAAACGCAGAAGTTGGAGCTGCTCAGTTCCCTCTCGGAGATGAAGCTCAAGCAAGCCAGCCTGGAGCGGGAGAACCTCGCCCTGGGGAATGGCGGTGGCAGTCCTCTGTCAAACGTGAGTCCCACTAGACGGCGACCCGGTAAATGCGTAATCACGTCAAGTTATCCGTGCGTCTGTGCAGGGCGACAGATTCGGCAGACACACCGGCCAGTACAGCAGTCTACCTAGGCCGAGGACCACCTCGAGGAAGGAAGTAGCCTTCGGTAAGGTCCAGAACTCGAATCCCTTGGGACAAGGAGCGCGGACGGCGGTACCCTTGGCGGTTAAAGGAGCGGCCGCGAGGTGCCTCTCGGCGCCGATTTTAGGTTTTCTTCGACTACAAGTGTCTAAGCATGTCTAAACGCCGCCAGGACTTTCTTAACTCGCCTTAATCAACGCTACTCGCCCTCGACGTGTGCCACGGCCCTCTGGGTCGCGCATGAGAAGTGATGGCTGACGCTTAGATCGCAGTCGCTGACCGGCATTTGCAATCGAATGAAATATCCTCCAAGTCGCTCGCATGACAACCTGTATCCGAAACCTCCAGTGCAGTGCCTGGTCGTCCAACGCTGATTTCTGTTCCCCCAGCGCAAGAGGAGGAAGAGGAGGAGGTGGAGAAACCCATGTCTTCGTCGACGCCCCTGGGACCTTCGGGGAGATTTTACGAGACATCCGCTCCGGTCGCTACCATGAAACCTCTGGCGACCCTCTCCATCGAGGAGGTGGGGAATTGGCTGGCTAGACTCGGCTTGGAGTGCTACTTCGCCGAGGTGAAACGATGGGGAGGCTCCGGGTCGAAGCTCTTGGACAGTTCCCCCAGTCAGCTGGAGAAGGAGCTCGACATCAAGAACACCCTGCACCGGAAGAAACTGCAGTACGCGGTTGAGTCTGAAAAGTGCAACGGCGAGGGCTTCCTCGGCTCCGATAAGGTACCACGACCTTGGCGACCTGGAGTGGACGGAAATTTTTATTTCTGAGTTATTCGTAGATGGACGGCCCAGCGGTGCTGCGGTGGCTGGATGACATCGGCCTACCCCAGCATAAAGAGGCCTTCCATAATGCGAAGATTGACGGCAGGGTACTGCATAGATTGACGACGGAAGACCTTCTGCACCTAGGGGTGCACGCCCAGCTACACGCCGCCAGTCTGCGACGAGGAATTCAAGTAATGATCGTTAATCGTCCCCGATCAGCTGGGGAACAGCTTTTATATTTACTTCTCGTGCACCAGGTACTGCGGGAGCTCAATTTTGAGTACGACGCTCTGGAGAGAAGGCCCTTGAATGGAGACGGAGCGGACAGCAGCAACGTGGCCCTCTGGACGAACCATCGGGCCATGGAGTGGCTCAGGGTGGTCGACCTGGCCGAGTACGCCCCCAATTTGCGGGGGTCTGGAGTCCATGGTGGTCTGATGGTCTACGAGGGTCGTTTCACCTCGGAACTCCTCGCCACCCTGCTCAGCATACCTCCCGCTAAAACCCTGCTGAGAAGACACTTGACTACTCACTTCAATCAGATTCTGGGCAGGGAAGTGGTGCAGCACAAGAGGGAGATCGAGAGCACCCTTGGCTTCGTGCCCCTAACCTTGACGGCCAGGCTGAAGGTGGGCGCGTCGATTCATTTCTTTTTTTTTATCATCTCTGTAAGAGGTGGCGGGTCTTTACATTTTTTTTTTAATTATTTTTTTAGGTACCAAAGAAATCCCAGTTCACGTTGAAGAGAAAGAAGAGCAAGAGCGAGGTCGATTACGGTAATCTGGTCTGTCCCCTGGAGGCATCTCCACCAGGTACTCCACCAACGTCCTCGACTATTCCGAGCAGCCCTGTCCTCGACTCACCCACGCACTAACGGTCGCAGCGCAGGCTTCTTATCGAACGGTCGTCTAATAACACTAACTCGTAAGTTTAATCCCCTTCGTGCACCAGACGGGTGGCGGTGCGATCCTCTCGCATCCCTATAACGATGGTCGTTTGGAGGAATCACTTGTCCGCTGCTATCCTGGTAACCGGTCCTCACGTAGTCGCGTTCTTCGCTTCAATATGATCTTTGGTTAGGGTCTTGTTACAGGAAATAAAATTAATTCCGCGATTTCATTTCAGATGTCGACGACGTGGCCCACGCGAAATTGACCGGCTGCATCGGCTGAAGGAGGGCCACTTCTGCTGGTGTTTCCACGTGCCAAGGTACGGTTCCGGATAGAAGAAAATTCTACCTGGAAGAGGAGGGAGACTATATCACGAGAACGGAACCTCTCAACCATAGACAATACGGAACAACGACTGTTTATACCGAAATAAGCGGATTAGAGTACGGAGATTGCGAATGTTGGAGAAGCTACTGTAAGGAGCTGGAATTATTCTAGACAGGCCTGGAGGAATTGTTAAGGATCGACGTAGTTAAGGGACGCCGACTCGAGGCGGAATTAGCGTAGTTAGAGAAGACTGCCGAGGAAGAGGGAGAAATAGGACTTAACATTTAGAGGTGACACGTAGTTAGGACTAACTACGGTATTAAGGACGATTTGTTGCGAGTCCGGATAATCATGGCGAGGATGGAATTGCGCGGCGGTGGAGTCGTGGACCAACGTGCACCTGCGATAAGGACGGGGATTTCTTATCGGACGACGAAGAGAGAGGTGGCACCTGTACTCCCGATCGTAGGACCGCCGATACCACGGAGTCTAGGATATAGGTACCCTATTTGGAAGTAAGCCATTGCTATTCCTTCTAATTTACACTTGCGAGTTACGGTAGGGTCGAGGATCTTCTGCTTCCTTTTGGCATTTTTGATAAAACATGTAGATCGAGCCGAGGCGAAATAAAGCAACGACGAAACTATCGTATCTCGAGTTCTTTCAATCGGGTAGATGATTGGGCTTCCGGAGGTACTCTCTGAAAGCGTCCAACGTTAGTATGGAGAACCGTAATGGAAGATAATGCACGTCTTTTGTTCGCAGTCGAATCTAACCCGTCCTGAGAGCTGCCAACCTCTTCGGGTCCATGTCTCGGAGCCCACCGTAATTATTAAAGTGAAATTAATGTCCATCTCTGAGAGATGCAAGGTCGCACCCGAGGTAGATCGTCATCTCTCCCCTGTATTTTTCTCTGCACTTTCAGAAATCCCTGCGTGTCCGGCAGGCGGTAGATCAGCCCTTGGGATGCCGACCTCGACATCCCCCACGTTCCTGCCGCTAACTCTGGGACCTGGGTCTACGTTTGACGATCGACCTGTTAAATCAACCAGGCAGATTTCTCGCAACGCTCAGTTATGCCGATAGAATGGTTAGGACACTCCTGGCGGTCGGTCTCGGACGAACGCCCGAGGTCTCATGTCTCATCCTGATCTCGAACAAACATCCTCCGAAGAGGCGACGCTCCTGGCCCGAGGCTACAAACTGATTAAAAAACTCGGCGAGGGCTCCTACGCCAAAGTACAACGCCCGGCAAAAATTGCCCATAACAAAGGAAACGATTGATAATGGGGCGCAGCAGAGTGCATTCCTTTAACGTTCAGGTATTCCTGGCGGAGTACAAGCCCGATAGCGAGCCCGACAGGAACAACACCCTGGCTTGCAAGATCGTCGACACCGGGAAAGCACCGAAGGACTTCGTCAGGAAGTTCCTGCCCCGAGAGCTGGACATCCTGGTGAAGCTGAACCATCCTCACGTAGTCCACGTCCACAGCATCTTCCAGAGGCGGACGAAGTACTTCATCTTCATGCGCTTCGCCGAGAACGGCGACCTCCTGGACTTCATCCTGAAGAACGGGGCGGTCGCCGAGAGCCAGGCTCGCGTTTGGCTGCGACAGCTCGCCCTGGGTATCGTCAGAAATTAATGCTACTCGGCTTCCTTATTATTAATTCCTAATTTTTTATATTTTACTTCCAGGTCTCCAGTACCTGCACGAGATGGAGATTGCCCACCGCGACATGAAGTGCGAGAACGTCCTTCTTACCTCCAACTATAACGTCAAATTGGCGGATTTTGGCTTCGCCAGATACGTGGTCGACAATCGAGGGAAACGGGTATTGAGCGACACTTATTGCGGATCCTTGTCGTACGCTGCTCCGGAGATACTTCGGGGGACTCCTTACAATCCCAAGATATCCGACATCTGGTCACTTGGCGTGATACTCTACATTATGCTCAACAAGGCCATGCCCTTCGATGACACGAACATAAAGCGACTCTGCGAGCAGCAGGCCAATCGCCGGTGGAAATTTCGGGGTAAAGTGACCGACACTTTGAGCGACCATGTTAAGAAGCTCGTCACCTGCCTCCTGGAGCCCGACGTCGGGAAGAGGTGGCGCATGGATCAGGTCTTGCACAGCGATTGGATCGCCATGGATCCTAGACTTATGGTGCTCACTCCTGCCGAGCAAAGTGCCCTGGACAACGCCATAGAAGAGCGCAAGCGGAACGAGGAGAAATTCTCTAAGGGCACCGTGAGACTCCTGGATTCTTCTCCGATCCTTTTAATGTATTCCGCATCTTCCTATCGGATTTATTCCTGGTCTTGTAGAAGGAGGGGAAGCATCACGAGAAGAAGAGGCTGGAGGCAGAAGAGGCGAAGAAGGAGAAAGAAGGCGTTACCGTGATCAAAGACGCAGTCAAGGTTCGTCCTCTACGAGATCTACGTTACATGAAGTTCATTCCCGGTTCTTGCTTCTTCTGCGTCTCATTGTTTTATTTTTTTTTTCCAGCCATCCGGATCTACAATCATAGAGAGGGGGAATTACTTCAGAAATCTAGGAGCTCCGGTGTAAGGTGTATTATGGATCCCAGAGTAATTTGGATTAACCTACCTCCCAGGCGGTGTATTTCTGCGAACGGTATCCACGAGGACAATATCGATATCGGTAATAACATACTTTTTAATTACAATTCAACTTACAAAGAACACACGAGATCACGTTGGTTTTCTAAATGATGTGCGTACACGTCTGCACACAATCTCACAGCCTTTCCGTTAATTTCATTAATTCCAGGAAATTAGAGCGTACGCGTTGTCTCAATTACCTAAGTACCGCATCTCGACCTTGGACGGGTCGGTGCCTTTGCCCGAGTGGTGGCTAATTTCGACAGGACCGACTCGAGTATCCTGGGGAAGGTGGAAAACGCTACGAGGTCCTGCAAGTCCTCCTATTCTCCAGACTCCGTCCGACCGGAAGACCAGGAGCTCTCCCGTGTGGACCTTGTTCATCAGGAAGAGGCTCGATCCTGGAATGACGTACTCCCGGAAAGCTCCCCAGGGCTCGCATCTCAGGATGACGAGCCGAGATGGTTGCTGAACGGCGATCCATAGCGATCCATCGGCAGTTCCAGAGATCGCTCGAATAGGCTCCATCAAGGGAAGAGCTAAACGATCGTAGGGTGTTTTTTTTTTTTTTTTAATTACATATCAATATTTCCGGTACGTGGAAATTAAACGTGAGCGCATGCTAATTACACCTCCGTGTAACTTACTTGAGACCGGACGGGATTTCTTATTGATTCGGTCGTAGGAGAATATCGACACCCCGGAATGTCCGTTTTTGGAGTCGGGATGGGACGACACCGAGAGGAGGAGCATCCGGTCGCCCAATGGTATGATCTCGTTCAGTATGGTCCCGCTGGTCGAGGTTGACCTTAGCAGACCTCGCAGTTCTTCGTTGTCGCAATCGAGAGTACCCTTAGGCGATCTGGTGCAAGTACCCAGGTCGTCGAATTTCACTTCCGTCGGCCCCACCTCTGGCTCGATGGACTCGGGAAGTGATATAGACCTCTGGTCTTCCGGCAAGGCCAATTTGTGGAAATGCACGGCCCGGTCTGTAATTTTTTATAAAACCTCGAATAAGGCACTTTACTTATTTATTAGCCTTTATGTTACCTTGCAGAGCGATGTCCACGATCTCGGCAAGATCGGTCAGTTCTTGCATTCCTTCCAAGACGGAAGTCAGACTGCCGTTTACTTGATCTGCTATCGGCGTCAATTCGACCCCCTGATAAAGTCCTTTCATTGTGACGTTGCCGAAAATTTCTAAATCCCCCTGCAGTCTGACTTCTGTCCTGATAGTTTGTCGGGAAGCGTTAATTGTTAACTGGTATTCGATGACGCTCGTTAAGTTCACGTCGTTAACGAATCCATCCAGTATAATCGCTGGTGCCTTCACGATCCCTTTGATAGTTTTCTTGCCCGTAATCTCCTGGGGATTCGTTCGCGATAGCAGACTTTCCATCGTGTAGCCCGCTACCTTTCCGGCCACTCTAAAATAATTAGTAAAACGCGTTTCAGTCATTCTTCTCTGCACGTTTATGTAAAATACGTACTTCAACGACGGGCCGTTGAAATTTGTAAATGTTTTCCGGCCCTTGATAACGATGGTCTCTTTCGCCTTGTTCGTGATTAACGCTCCGCTGGACCATTCGCTAAAATTAAAGCTCTCGACATCCTCAGCTATTAGGTGGTTAACCGTAGTTGTTCCGGAAAGAATATTTTTTTCTACGTCGGATCGCATGACGTCGGTAGTTAAATTCATGTCGTTGATCGTTCCATGTATCACTGGATCTCCTGCATGTTAAAAAAAAAGGAAAAAAAAAATATTACGGAGTGCTGGGGAAGGCTCGTTAAACAATTTGGTTCCAACAACCTAAGATATGTAGCTCCTCGAATCCCAGGCTGGTATTCACGGTTTGAGTTGCGTTTTTCTTCAGGGTGTTATGCTGTAACTCTGACAAAATTGATGTTTCAGGTACCAGCAGTCTTGGAGAGGCCGATTCCGAAGTGGCAACTCCTGGGGCACGAAGATGGTCAAATGATGCCTCAACGGAGATTTCTTGGGATTCCGATTTACTCAGAACTCGGTGCTTCGCGTTTTCCCACGAGCCAAACCCGGGGCTGTCGACGCCTTCCTGGAAAGAAGGGAAAAAAGGTATTCGCAAATTTCTCTATTCTTGATACCATTTAAATTCTATTGTCTTTTGGACAGAGCGAACGCACGTTTAAAGATACAGGGCCGTGAAATGAGGAGTTCTTAAACTCGAAAGTCTCTGCCGAGAGCGTAGCCGCATTTCCAATCATCCAGATATCATTGGAAATTAATTTGTTAATGTCTATCTCGTTAATGGTCTCCACAGTGGGCTCCTTCTTAAACACTGCGGATCCTGTACAGAGGTGTAATTACTGGATTACTCTGAATTACCACTAAGTCCGATAAAATCGAAGAGCCCACCTCGAATAATTAGATGCTCGACGGCGTCATTTGACAATTGTACAAAGGAGTGCGGTATTGTTAATCCTTCTTGTATTTCCAGAGGGCCTTCGACGGTCTTCGAACCCAGTGAGACATCCCCAGAGTTCGTTTCCGGATTTTGGAGGATTGACGGTGCATGAGACGCTTGCATATGACCAACAGTGAGATTTCCAGCTGTCGACGGTTGTAAATTTCAATTAATTCAGTTAAGTAGGGTCTTTAATTAAGAGAACCCACCGTTAGACGGTACCTACCGAATGTTAAGTTCTTCAACGTCATCGGCGTATCGGTGATGACAACGCCTTCCATAAATTCCTTGATGTTTATATTCCCTAGAGAATTAACGTAAGCGTTTCTCTTAGATACAACATTTCCTACGTGAGGAGGCAACGGAACGTTGAACGCTTCATCTGAGAAAAGACTGTGGACACTTAGATTGGAAACTTTGACGGAGCCTTTCATCTTCCCCGGCGCCGACCAGCGGGAGAGCAGATTCTTCAATCCTGTTGACAAGAGACGTTTCTTAGTCACTGTGAATGTGAATACGGCTAATTAATGGCGATACCTTTGAAATCAAAGTCGCGTATACTGGATGGAGATATTTTCTTGGCTCTAAGCTGTAGAATGTTCTTCGAACTGAAATCTATGTCCGAGGCAGAAGTGACCGTATCCATGATCATCTCGTAGAAAGTCATTGCGCCGAAAATGGAATTACTTAATGTTGAGTTCGCAACCACTCGACCCATTCTTACAGTCTCAGTAGATATGTCGGACGTGACCGCACTTTTTCCGCACACCGTTCCTTTGATTCTGAAAAAGTAATTATTATGCAATGCATATTTTATTATCGAGTGAACGTTAAAGTACCTGGGGACACTTTGGACAGTATTTTTGTTCGGAGGCAGAGTTACACCGCCGGGTGCGAATTTTTTTCCAGTTATGTTCACGGCAGTCCCAGGACTTGTCGTTAATACGCGACGTAGGGATTCCAAGGTAACTCTGCTCCATTCCTGGAAAAATTAAGAATGTATTTTTTTAATTTAATGTTCTCTAACAAAAATACGTATTCATGTTTTTTTTTTTTCTCCAGAAAATCCTGCTTACAATGGTGTTACCGTCGAGGACAAAATGAACCGGTACCGCAGCCTGTAGAGGTACGGAATTCTCTACTATCGCATTCAAGGACGTTCCATTGCCTAGAGTTATGCTTCCAGCCTTAAGAATACTCGCTATTGTGACATTCTTCAGGAAGTAAGTGCCTTTTGGTAACGTTAGAGGTCCTGGTACGTGGGCCATCGGGGCTAGTACTTTGATACCTTCTCCTTTTACTCCTGCACGTAAATGGACCTTTCGAATTCTGACTTTTGGAGCTTGGATCTGTCCAGTAATGGAAACTGGCGAGCCATTCAAAGGCAACAACAATCCTGCCTCTGTTAGATGTAAATCCTTCGTTGTTATAGTCTTTGCCTGCACCGTTGTCTGGATAGTCTGCGATGCAATTCCCAAAGGTATCGAAGCACTGTTCGCTGTGAGACTATATATCACATGGTCTCCTAGAAAATAAATTCTGGGGAGTTTAGAATAATTATCCTGGCATGCGTGATATTTACCTGTAATTTCTTGATCCCCTGTGATTTTTAATGTGTCGTCCCAGAGAGTTTTAAGGGATACTCCGTTGATCTTTTGGTCTCCTCCAAGAATCACTTCGTTTAGTCTCAAAATGGCCTTTGGGCAAGGCAAACTCGATCCAACGGAATCAACTTTAACGTGTTCAAGTTCTAAACCATAACTGTCGGTGTTTCTTTTAACATTACTTGTATGGACAGTGTCGAGTCTCCTCAATTCTTCCAGAATGGTGCTCTTTACCTCCGTAACCGTACTTTGTGCTCTACAGTTAGACGTACACCTTGTTTTAACGGTAGAAGCATTTAGTCGCACAAATCTAGTATTCTCCACAGACATTGCATTAATCAATGTATCTCTTGCTGTGAGCAATTTAGACTCCTCCGTCTTGTATTGTTCACTTAAGCCCACAAACCTCTGTATCATGGTAGTATTTCCAATTAACTGAAATAATGTAATTGAAATGAAAAATAAGATATTTTACAAATTACTAGTGGATCAAAAAAAATAAAGATATAATTTCTTCTCGAATCAATGGGTACCTCTTTAGTGTATAGTTTATCGATGACAGCTCCATTCCTAATTCGTATTGTGTCTGGCAGTGGGGACTCCTTCGAAGTTAATAAAGCAAGATCTTCCTTCAGCTTATTTCTGGCTTCGAGACACCACGATGTAATGTCTTCCTTTATCTGTCCCCAGGTGTTTCTCCGGCTCCAAATTGGAATAAGTAAGGTCCATTCACTGGTAGCATTCTCGATGGCTATAAAGTCTTCACCTTGTAAAGAAACTGGACGCAGTTGGTTCATTCGAAGAGGGTTTACATCCAATGGTTCGAACCTCCAACCATCGTACTGGAAGATAACCGTGCTGTCAACCTGGTCTTTTGGTGACAACAATAGAACCGCTGTGTCTTTTTTCGAGGAAGGTATGTAAAAGATTTTTTGCGCTGGCAGAAGCTCTTGGAATGGGACAAAACGCCCAGCAGTATATTTGTAGATAATCGTGGAACCATTTTCAAGGGATCCTTTGTTTAGAGACAATACGACGTAGTGCTCTCTGAGACGTTCCTTTCCCACCTCAAAGGCAACGATGTCTTTGGCACTGGGCAATTTTTGTACAACAATAAATTCACTGGAACGAAGCAAGAATCTCAGAATTATTGTACTGCGTGAACTCATCGCAGCTAGATGCATGGAGCCACCGATCCTGAAAGGCACCAACATCTCTGCTCCGATGTTAGAAATGGTCTGTATGGAATCGAAGTTCTCTCCCAGCCAGTGATATATTGTAATGTTGTGAGGATTAGATACGCCCAGGAACAGCTGATTCATGCCTCGCCAGAGTACCGGACGAGAATTCCCTGATGCTTCCAAATGCTGCGCCAAGTGCAGGGACAGTGGTTCGGATGGCTTGTCCTGATAGAGTCGTAGAATCGTGATACCACTTTTAGAGCACCCAATTGCCATTATGGTACCAACTGTTTCCAAACTCTCAGAATCTAGGCAGCTTGCTTCGCTCAATGACAAATTATAAATCGGATGGAAAATATTGGCCTACGATTAAAAGTGTCAACGAATGTGTAACTATTTTTAAGTACTATTAAAAGGAATTTTATAAATGATTGCTGATTTACATTTAGTCGAAGTAATGTTAATTTCGTTGAATTCAAGGCTACGGCAAACCACTCTAGCTCAGCACCGTGTTGATGCATGAAGAAGGATACATCAAGAGCACCAGGCACACGAAGGGAAGAAAACGATTGGAATCCACTTAATACGTAAGTACCTAAATCGTTCCTTTCTTCTCCGAAATTATTTACCTGCCTTCGACTACGATGTATGTTCGGTATTTTTAAATTTTCTACGTACTTGTCAATTTCATTATCAAGCTTGTTTATCACCTCAGTGCTCGGTATCTCGTGTTCTAAAATATTAAATACGTAAACGCGCGTTTTGTATGGTCTATCTATAAAAAAATATTTTTCACTTACCGTAGTCCTTCTTCAGTTTTTCAAAAAAATCTGTCACTGTTTCAAAAACATCCTCGAGCTTATTTGATGAATACGGTGGATCTGCTTCTGAATAACTTAACGATATTAAAATAAATAGTAGGAATTTTGTGGCTATCATTGTGGATTGACTTATATTCTCTGCTACACATTCCACTCTCCACGTCACAAGTGAACGAATAGCCTCTTACGATTATTGGAGAAACTGCCTACTCTGTTCAATGCTTATGCTATATTTACATTTCTTGTACATTAAATGGACAGTATTTACATTTCTTTTATACTCGTGGAATACTGTATGAGGTTACACCAGTAAATAACGAATCGTTACAATAGCTTTTCTAATACTTCAATATTATTCTTAAAAATATTCTTTGAAGAATATAAATGTGTTTGCAAAGCTTAGTCTATGTTATCTAATTGTAGCATATCGTTGAAACTCGTTGGTGAGAAATTGTCCTGTGACATGGGTTGCCTGAGGTCCAGGATTATCCTGGGCAGGACTATGAATCTTGATTTGCCTTATATGCGTGTCGCGACCATTCTGATGATTACTAACCACTGCAATTTGAATCATAAATGTTCTGATAGGTCGATCGCTTATATCCTTGATTGGACAAATGACCCAACCACTAGGTTCGTTCAAATCCATTACTTCTACCTCTTGAAGGTCATTAAAATTTGTGCCAGCTCTGACGCTTATTCTGAAAGAAAATTCCAAGCTTTATCCTCTGTACACAATTTTACTCGGTTGACTATAATTTCTTACCGACTCGGGGTATAACTCTCATCTAACTTAAAATCAGTATAGATGCAAATATTTCGAATAGTAGTTTTTTTCCTAAACTGAATGTTCACAAGGTGCGGTAATTGACCATCGGACTGCCAATAAGTTTCCGTTATGTCGTCGCGCAGCTGATCGACTCCAAAACCTGGCTTGCAGCTGGAAAGGCTCCAGATCGCTTGATTTCCTACTTCGCGAACTCTGCTAGTTAATTCTTCCTGAATAGGATTCAGCTCTGTCATGAAAATAGAACAGAACCCATTGTAGCAGAATGTACCGTTTCAAGCATAACCCTACTTACAATGTTAATATTCAAGGAGGCGTGAAAAATATTTTCTATCACGTGTTTACGCTATTGTAATACCTGGGTATCAATTAAAAAATTCTCCCGAATCTACTTTCGTAATTTGAAAATAAACTTCGCGCCAAGATGAGAAATAATACTCGCCATTACCGCCTCCTGCTTTATTACTCATTTGGAACCTCCGTTGTTTTTTCAGGGTAGCGCGGTAAATAATGAACGATGCAATGAAATAAGGTCAATATAAATTTATTTTCCCTCTTCGCCTTTAGACAAACAACGTACGTCAAAGATTTATAATTTTGTTTGACCAACAGGACTAGCCTCAAACACACATAACCTCAAACGAAATGGTCACCACCTTAGATCGTATATATGTCTAACGTCACCGCCAGGGTCGCATGATCGCTCTCCTGTGCTGCCCTTAACTGGTAACGATAACTACGTCCTTATAAATTGTGCAGGGGGTAAATACGAACAAATACCAGTCACGTAGAATTTTCGACAGTTTTATTAATAATGAACGATCCCGTAGAGTATTTACAACGTTAATTCCTTTCTCGCTAGTCAACAATGTCCGGAAATCAACTGTAGCCTCGAGGAGACTGCGAATTATATCAACTCGGAGCCCACCTGAAAAGTACCGAGGGCTTTCCTAGTACAGTGAATAATTAATAAACGATGGACTCTACACGGAGACAAATAAACCGAGCTACGTATGTATGTACACTCGGACACCTTCTGTAAATTACTTTCAAGCTTCGAGCGAGGAGTAAGCAAGTTTATCATCCATTTTTCTTTTAGCCTCCAAGCAGTCGCCGACGCAGCGGCACCAGTGAAACACTCCTACAAGGGGTCCCGCACCAGGTGCGACCTCGAGTCACTAAAATCCCCCATTTACTATCGCACAATAATTAAATTTCTCATTCTTAAATTAGCGCCCTACCGCCGTAGCAGTAACTCAAGCTCTACCAGAGAATCTCTCTACTCTACTCTACACGTCTCTCGTGCCGAATGCCGAACCAAATCGCTAAATCAAGTCTCCTAGAGTAAAAAGTGGAAAACAGGAGGACTGAACGCAAATCTCGAATGCCCCTCAGCACGTTAGTTCGTATCGGGTCGCACTTATTCGTAAATTCGTAGCTCTTAGAATTAAACGATTTAGCGCCCGCGCGTGGGGCTTCCTCAAGAATCGTCGGATCGATCGACTCTTGTTATCATTTGAATGATAAGCCGGCGCTCGAGCGAATGGCGCCTGCGCGATTCGCCTCCGATCGGCCGGCCTGCTAAAACTCGTTGGTCCACGCTTTCGGCCGAGGGACAGAGTCCTGGGACGATTCCCGATTCTCCTCAGAGGATGTAAAAGATCCAGTAGACCGCATTGAACATCATGAAGCTCACGGGGAAGACGATCCGGGAGTACTTGTCGATCACGTTGACGTCCTTGATCTTCGGCATCGAGGCTCGCAGGACCGAGGCCCCCCTGCGAAGGGCGTGCAAAACCTGGAAAATGGTACCGTTGGGAGTAGCTTTAGACGGCGAGCTTTTACTTTAATGCGTAATACCTTCGGCTTGGTTTGCTTAGGTCCCCTGTACCGTAGACCACCGCCTCTCCCGTGAATATTATAAACGGCAGCTCTGGAGATGCGGAAGCTTGGAGGAAACTTGGCAGGGTCGTGGTCCTTGCAGGGGTCCGAGGAAAATCCTGGAGTGCCGATCAACCCGGACCTGCTCCTGATGCTCGGCAAAGGAGAGACTCTCAAGTCCTGGAGCTCGATTATATCCGCGTCCGTGGTCCCAGGAAACGGAGAGCCCTCTTTAGCACTCGGCAAAGTCCCAGCTCGGTCTTCAAGGAGCGGGAGGTAAGAAATCCAGTTGTTATCGATGATAAGAAATGTAGGGGATGATCACGCCTACCCGTTTTGGCAGGAAGAGTCTTCTTCTCGTCGCCGTCCTTCTTCTTGCCCTTCTTCTTGGCCCTGGCACCCCAGTAGGTGTAGTTCACGGCCGCGTACTCCAGCAGGGCGGCGAACACGAAGACGAAACACATCACCAGGTAGATGTCTATCGCCTTGACGTAGCTGATGCGAGGGAGCGAACTCCTCACCCCCGTGGAGATGGTCGTCATGGTCAGGACCGTCGTTATCCCTGGGAACGATTTTCAAGTAAGCGTACGAGTGAGTAATGAGAAATGGAACGAAGGTAGAGACTCGCCGACCTAGGGCCACCCTGGCGCTGGTGGCCTCGTGGTTGATCCAGAAGCTGACCCAGCTGAGCATCACGATCAGGATGCTCGGCAGGTAGGTCTGAAAGACGAAGTAGCCGATGTTCCTCTGCAGCTTGAAACTAAGAGACAGTCTCTGGTAGATCCCAGTGGCCAGCCTCTCCTTCCGGTCGTTCGTCTCGTAGCCGATTATCGTGAATTGAGGGAGCTCCGCCTCCTCCACGCCGCGAACCGGCGTCTCCTTCCAGTACATGACCACGTCCAGGACCGTATAACCGTCTGAAGAAAATCAACAGGATCGTGGATCTCTCTCCAGCCACCTTCAGGATATCTTCAACCCCTTCGAGAGGGTACACAAGAAGATACTCAGGACGTACAGCTCTCGATCTCGACGGTGCAGTTCTGAGAGTCCAGAGGGTAGTAGTGCAGGTCCATCATGCACGCAAGGGTCGTCGTAAACCTCATGCCGTACGTCACCGATCCGTCACCTGCCAGTCTGACCAGCTTGTTCCGTTCCGTCACGTCGTGCAGGAAGCTACAACCAGAGAGTTCGGACCCGGATCGTTATCAAGGAAGAGAGAGATACGTTTAGCGAGCCGTCCTCGAGGGACTCCCGAACGGGGTCAGGGGTTCGACGGAGCCTCCTCCTAGGAGATGATCAACAACGGTCGACGCGAGAAATGCTGTTAACCCACATCGACACCGTGCTTACGTTGACGAGTATCGATTCGCCATCGCGAGGGCGAGGAGATATAAGCGAGGCTTTACGGATGCTGGGACGAATCGATGGACCCGAATCTCGGTGGGCACTTTTCGCACCTGTTCTTGTCGTTGGCGAAAAAGGTATCCGGCACCCAGATCTTCTCGGCGAAGTCCCCGCTCAGCGTGAGGACTTCCTCGTCGTGCGAGAACGCCAGTCTCTCGTCCTTCCAGTACTGGTTCAGGTACATCGTGATCGTGTAGTCCTGGTAAGAGGATACGGCGAGGAGAGATAAATGCAAAATCTATCCAGTTTTGTATTTCTATTGCAGGACGTGGATCGCTCACCATGTTCACCTCGGAGATCGCGTCGAAACTCGCGATGGTCAGGTCCATCCCCACCAAGAGTGGCTCTCCTGGAATCAGGTGAGGGAGATCTAGCAGATCTATTTCTGGTAATCATTTATAGAAGAGAACCGATTCTCTCGTGTTTCAGAAGATGGTTCTCTTCGAGGGAAGGCCGAGATGGATCCTGGCGAAGCGCCGGGGAATTTAGAGGTCCTGGGATATCCAGGATTAGGGAGGGAACCGACGAGCCGGACACGATGAATCTCCCCCGTGAAATTGTCGGGACGGGATCTGATTATTTCCACTCGTTGCGCGGATTTATTAAGCGCATTGGTAATCGCGTTAAAGCGAGTGATAGAGGGAATCCGCTTAGCCTTATCATCCGGGGCGGGAAATTATCCCCTCTATGTTTCCACGTTTGAGGAAATATGATTCCGTTTAATGGGATTAATACGCACCTCCGAAATTCGGCCTTAATCGTATGTCGTAGCCACTGAGAATTCGAGAGATCGTCTGCGTGACATTTTCGAGTCTGTCCGTCACCTCCGAGGAATGGCCTTTCATGAAAGCTCTGCAAACGATAAAAAAGGACCAATGATCGTTCTTACTCCAAGTGGAAGTATTCTGAATAATCGAGTTCAGCCAAAGGTAGACTTTACCGGGTTATTAATCGGTGATGGGGGTGGAGCGCGATAACGAGAAACGCCAGGAGGGTCTCTCGAAACATTCTGGTCCCCTGAGCAACTTGGTCAGCCTCTATCGTCAGCAAACTGCGAGGAACGTCATCTGGAAAGACCCGAGATCCTCGGCCTGAAGTATTTCTCGTTCAACGGGGGATCTGCCTAGAATCGAAGTCGAGCACATCGGAGGAACCCTGCGTCCTGTAAGTTGGCGGTAAAAGAAGAGCCTCCGTAATTCAAAGAAACATGAGAGAAAACTTTTTCAGATTGTCCTGGCCGATGGAGTGTCTTGTGCCATTGGTCGTCAACGTGATTTGGCATGCAACAGTTGTACATATCTCTGCCCAGAGGAATTCAAGTTCACCTTCTTCGAGTGGATCGCCGAGTCCTTCGGGCCGGACCTCTTCGACATCGAGGGACCTCGGCGAATCGCTTGCCATTCGCTCGTGGACACCTTAGCGCGCACTTGCGGATTTCCGCGTGTAGCCTTGGCCTGCGGACGAGCGGATGGGAATTAATATTCGACGCGGAACGGGGGAAGGACCCTCTCGAGGGGAGTCCTCGCGCGAAGAGCACATCGCGACGAAAGAGCGGACGAGTCGCCTGCGAATCGCGAAAGTAGCCGTCCCGACTGCGACCTGGCAGGTGTTCCCGACTGCCAGGGAACTTTCTCGGGACCCGGGAAGCCGCAGGTTCGGCTGGGAGCACCCTCGACACGGGGGCGATAGGGAAGCGCTCCTGACGATGGTCCAGCTCGCCTTGGAAGACGAGGGGATGCTGGGAGCGCATGTCCGCGCACGCGCCCGCGAATCTCTGGGGGTGGTGGGCTGGAAATTCAGGAAATGCACGAGTCGTCTAGGAATTCCAGAAAACTTGGCCCTGACGCCAAAGTACTATAGAACCGCGACGGGAAATCATGAAACTAATTTTGGGAATTTACAGGGATGGTGGGACGTTCTTTAGTTATCTATCAATGTATAGACGAGGAATTACGGTAACAAAGGCTGTTTCGCTAGAAGCTTTTACTTATGTTTAAGGGATTGTACAGTATATAAACAATGAAGGGATTTTAGGCGAGCATCTTCGAAACCGATCGATCAGCCCTTCGGCCCAGCGAAATGGGTGCGCTTCTGAGTTGCGCGGAGCGTTCTGCGCATGTCGAGAATCTCCGCGGCCGGTCCGAAAGCTGAAAGTCTTTCCGCCGAGGGTGGATCGCGGATCTCCCTCGGGAATATTCTCGTTAACGGTGTGTCGGCCCACGGAGTGACGATTTCTGGGAAAGATACTTTTCCCGCGACCGGCTCCGCTTCTCGAGAGATTTCTTTCTCTAGTGCGACCGAACGTACCGATAAAGAGAAGCGCGAATAGGAAAGGCAGAATGATCTCTTGCCTGATCATGTAAGTCTTAGATCCGTTGTGTGCCATTCGACTGGGCAGACTTTAAGCGACCGTCTGGCAATAATTATATAAATTAACCGAACTTCTTATGTCATAGACTGACCCGTTATAATTTAATATCAAGGGAATGTATTTAGTTAGCTGTGCCGATGACGGGAGCTTGAAAGATCCTTAAGAAAAGTCGCGCGAGTCGACGACCTCGTTAGGCGTTTCGCTGGTACTTGGGGACCGATCGTTCGGCATCGAAGGATAATCGCCTATCTAAAAGACGTCGAAGACGCGATTTATAACACATCCGGGACGATGTGGCCCGTATAGAGACAAGATGCGCCCTTTAAAGCCACCGAAACGTGCAAGATCAGCAACTAAGGAGGACCCTTGCGCTCCTCGTTACGCTTCTCTTCTTCGCTGTCCTCTTCAGTCTTCTGGGTGATCAGCACCGGGATTTCGGTCGCTTGAATTTCTCGCGACACCTCGCACCCTGGTGGAAACGAGTCCATACTCTTGGAAAGAAAAAGGGAACATTCCACTCGGACTAAATTTCGCGGCGTTAATTCCTCGCGATAGTCGCTAGTACACGGAGTTCCTAGATTAATCAGAATGCAAGTCGAAATAGTCTTTCACCCCCTGGTGTAGATTTTCAGTGTCCACGTTTTGGAGCTTCTGCGATGGATCGACCAACGCGAGCTCGTATCTCTCTACGAGACAATCGACCCTGAGGAACGGGCAGAAGAGCGACGGAGTAGGGTCCGCAAACGACTTCCTCTCCAGGAACATCACGATGGTCCTGGAGGATCTGCTGATGAACTACGAGAACAACCAGCTACCAACTTACGGAAAAGGTAGGGCCAAACCGCGACCTCGACTTTCCTCTTGGGATTAAAAAAGATACCATCCCTTTTCCAGGCGTCCCTACCGTCGTGAAGACGAACATCCTGATCCGAAGCATGGGGCCCATTTCCGAGCTCGACATGGTGAGTCGGTAACGCCCTTTACCCTGAAAATCATTTCCCAAGCACGGTGTCGCCATGAATTAATTTATAGCCTGATCTGAACCCACGATTTCAGGACTACTCTATGGACTGCTACTTCCGGCAATACTGGCGCGATTCCCGTCTCAGTTTTCTGGGCCCCATCAAGTCTCTGAGCCTCAGCATCAAGATGCTGGAGAGGATCTGGCGACCGGACACCTACTTTTACAACGGGAAGCACAGCTACGTGCACACCATAACCGTGCCCAACAAGCTCCTCAGGATCTCCCAGGACGGCGACATCCTCTACTCGATGAGGTCCGTCCTCTCTGTGACGGAGGGAAATAATGAAATGAGAAGAAGAACGTGTAAGGAAAGTCCTACCTCGAGGGTAATACCTTCTACCACGCTTGTCCAGGTTGACGATAAAGGCGACGTGCCCCATGGAGTTGAGGAACTTCCCCATGGACAGACAGTCCTGCCCGCTGATCCTGGGCAGCTGTAAGATCATACTTATTAAAATTCCGGAATATTTTCATTTCCTTCATCGGCAGCCTTCTTCTAGATGCATACACTTCCGGTCAGCTGGTCTACGAGTGGCACGAAGGTTCCTCCGTGAACTTCGTTCCTGGCATGGCCCTGTCGCAGTTCGACCTGATGGGGTCGCCCTACAGGAACCTGACATTCCTGCGGCGAGGAGGCGAGTTCTCCGTGCTCCAGGTCTCCTTCAACCTGCAGAGACACACCGGTTACTTCATCATCCAAGTAATTTTAATCGTAGCGAATTATCGGAGCTTTATGTCCGTGACAAAGGACTCTCCCCCAGGTGTACGTCCCGTGCGTTCTCATCGTCGTGCTGAGCTGGGTGTCCTTCTGGATCCACCGGGAAGCCACCAGCGACAGAGTCGGCCTAGGTAAGCCGATGAAGGTATCTTTCGATGGCATCTTCGGGGTACTCCAGACCTTCCTTCATTCTTCCAGGCATCACCACCGTCCTGACTCTGTCTACGATTAGTCTGGATTCGAGAACCGATCTGCCGAAGGTCAAGTACGCCACCGCCCTCGACTGGTTCCTCCTGATGAGCTTCGGGTACTGTATCGCGACCCTCCTGGAATTCGCCGGAGTGCATTACTTCACCAAAGTGAGCAAACCACTCGAAAAAGTAGGTGACACTGGAGCGCGTTTAAATTTTCACGCCGCACTCTCTGTTCGCGACTTCGATCGCGGAAGGTCGGCAGCGGGGAGATTCAGCTGGACGACGGGGAATGGACCGAGGCAGCCGATTGGAACGATTCCAACGAAGAGCTCCTCGCCGAAGGCCCATTGTTGGCAGCGGTCGACAAACCCGAGTTTGCCGATTTCGAAGCCGTGTCTCGTCTGGAGCGAGCCATTATTCCGGAGATAGGCAGCGTGTCGCGCAGGTTTTGCGGGGTAGGTCAGTTATTTCCGTTCGATTGTCATAGAGATACAGAGCCGGAGGTAAATCTCTGCTCCCAGGAAGGCGGCCTGTCTCGCTTGTCGGAGTCCCTGAGGTCCACCTGCGACATCTCGGTGCCTGCCGAGGGTCGACGAAGGGAATTACCGGGGAGGATCGAGAAAGAGACGCAGACCGAGTTGCGCTTACCAAAGTGGCGGCAGTTCCTCTACTGCCTAGCGGGCGACGACGCGTTCAGGTGAGAGCTGACTTTACACAGTTTCCCTCGAGGTTCTCGAATTAATCATGAGTTCCCTGTGTTTTCACCAGGCGCCAGAGGCAACGAGAAGCCTCGAGCGGATACAGGAAACACGGAGACCGTGCCCAGAGGCACGTCAACAGCGTTTCTTACATCGACCGGGCCGCCAGGATCATCTTCCCGGCGTCTTTCGGCATCCTGAACGTCTGCTACTGGGTGATCTACGTGACGTACCAGGAGGACTTCAAGTGGCAGGACTCGCCGATCGCGTCATTCTCTCATTGATGTACATACATATATACATACATACATCTTAAAGATAATCCTTACTCTAAAAAACCTAAAGAATAACCGAGACATCGGACGGGTTGAATTATCAGAAATTTTTCTAAGTTTTCTCCCACCGCAAGAAAAATTAACATTAACTTAGGTCTACGAGTGTCTTTCAAGGATCAGGAATTAGAGGGTTCGCTAGACATGCTCGTCTAATTAAATATGCTCATTGTTATTATTCAATAACTTGCTCTATTACTCTAATTGTTGTACAGTTTATTATAGAAGTAGCAACAGAGATGAGTTGGGAGATTGCTCACGGGCAGGGTGGCGCGATCGCATCCTGTGCTGCCCTCTGGTTTCCTACGTTAGCTTTCACCGTTTTTTGCCCCCAAGGGCGGCGCAACGAATTTCTGATAGGGGATCGCGCCCTCGCGATGGCGGTGCCAGCTACCAGTCATCGTTGGCGGCTCACGTACTCGTGATGGTAATACCATGCGGCAGTTGACGGTGGTGGCTTACCTACGCTTGCCGACCCTGCTCGCTTTTGATGGTAAGGGAAGAACACTCGTGGCGCCCTCTTTACTCTAAGTACATTGTTGCCCCGAAGTCGACGTGATACGGAGCTTTGGGGCACGCGTCGATGTTACATACGGAACTCGCATGCAGCGAATTTGTGCGAATGCGATCGTTCACGTGATTCCCGTGACTCCCGAGAAGTCGCGTGAAGTCGTCGTATGAAGTCGTCATGTGAAGTCGTCATGTGAAGTCACATTTCCAAAACCTCGAAAATGGATAATTACCCAACCCTGCTCCGAAGTCGACAGTGAGCCGCAATTCGCGCCAGGAGACCCGCAATATCGATGCAGCTGTGTACATCAGGGTTGCCTGCTCCCAGGGGCCGGGAACGAACTGTAGCGTACCGAGGAGAATAACCATCAACGACTGGCGGACCGAATCTTTCAGCCCGAGTCTTCGAGAAAGCGAGTCACCCGGTACATCGGCGATTATTTCATTGTTTTCTTGGATCTCTTTCCGCGCGGATGGAAAAAAAAAACAGAAAAAGCAAATAGAAAAACGAATAGACGCGGATCAGCTTCGCGACGGAGGAGAATCGTGGCAGTTTCAGGGAGCAAAAGGTAGGAACAAAGTGATGCGGCCGCCATTGCGGTCGCGCGGGGTCGGAGGACGGACGGGGAGAATAATCGTAAATTCGTTTCCTTCCCGGCTTATAATACACCAGCGACTCGCGTCGGGGGCGTTAGATTTCGCAATTCGACTCGGCCGGGGGGCCGTTTCGAATTTCGCGGGCCCCGGAGTTTGTTGCACCTGGGCATTGTTCTCCACTCGGCGGTGACCTTGGCAAGGTCACGCGTTGCACGTGCCACCGAGGGCCGGGGCACGAACGCGAAGTGACTCCGGCGCGGCTGAGTAAATGCCCGGTTACATGTCCGCGTATGTACCCGGAGTACATATATGCGCGTGAGTCGGTGGAATTCGCGCGGCGCGGCCGTTGGCTGCCAGGGGCCATGGAGGACCGTCGCCGAGACGTCAAAATATGTATTACAGCTATCCAGACTGTTCCTCCTGGATTGGGTGGGTAGAAAATGGCGTCGAACGATGGAGGAAGAAAATCCCTCGAGGGTCGGCGCCTTGACGTAGAAAATGACTTTCCAGGCCTGCCGGTAAACGCGCGGAGGAGAGAACGATCTCACTTTTCCCGAGGCGAGAGCCTAGGTGCGATCCAAGATGGCGGCGGCGGAGTCAGTTTCCGCGCGGCCCGGAGGAAAAGGGAAAAAGGAAGAGGAGCCCACGCGGCGGAGGCGAGTCAAACCAAGCGTCCGAGACGTCTCCGAGGCTTTCACCGCGTCGGCACCTGGAGTCGGCACGGCGGGGGCAAAAGGAACGGGAAAACTTCCTGGGGGCCTGGTTCCTTTCCCGGCCAGGCGAGGTGGGACGGAAGGGTCTGGAATTTTTCGCCGACCACCTACGCGGGGAAAGGGCGAGAGGTAATTAAAGAATCGGAAGATACGTCCGGGTACTTTTACGAGTCTCCTTTTAGATACGCGGGAGGGAATTGGAGGGAATGAACGGCAGGTCCCGCGGCGAGGTAGGAAGAGGGGACGGCGCGCCCGCAAGAGGAGGAAACCTCGACCGGAAGTAGTTACTTGTTGGCCGCCACGAAAATATCAGCCGGCCGTTTCGCAATCGCCGGACTGTTTGGTTCCTCGGCGGGTTTAATATAGCACGCGCGGATGCCTCGCCCGGAGAGGAAAACCACAGGGAGCGAGACCGAGAGAAAGAGAGAGAGAGGGAGATACCTCCCGCTCCCCGAGGTTCCCTCGCCGCTCCTATCGCCTATCTCCGATCTCGATTAGGACCGATGGATTTCCTGCTTATCGAGGAGTCCGAATTCCTCGTCGATGAGGGGAGGACTCTCCGTTGCCCCGCTGGGAGCAATTCCCGGCTCGAGATCGGCGGCAGGAGGAGCCGCGAATCGATGTAAACGCGCGCTCGCCTCGAGCGAGCGGATGCTGCGCTCTCCCTCGCCTAACTGGCGCTTCCGGTGGCTCGACTCGGCCCCTCCCTCTCCTCGACATCCTGCCGAGGGCCGGCGGACGGACGAGGGCCACGTCACATCCGCCCCGAGACTGCCACTTTATTGTTAGCCACGGTTAGGGCTCTCCTCTCGGGGTGCTCGGCAAAAATTCCGGCCTCGCTCTCGTTTCAACCGAAAGGACCGAGACCCGCTCGCCACCCGTTCCCTGAAATCCACGTGGAGCACCATCTCCCCCCGCTCCGTCCCCCTTAAAAAAAATGCAGATTAATAATCCAGAACTACCGATCGAAGCGGCTCTCCCGTTATCCCCAGAAACCGCTCTAGGACTCTTTCTATGCGAACCAAAATTCCCCCCTCCCGTCATTATTACTACTACCCCCAATTAACACTAGAAGTACCAAGACCAGTCAAAATGACTGGTTTCAAATGGCCCATCCTATACAAAAAAAAATCCGCTGGTAGTTCTAGCGTTAATTACCGCCGAGCCGATAACACCGTCCCTCGTCCCTCTGTCCGAGAAATTACTATTAATTACCGCCGAGCCCTCGTGGACGTGAACTTTACGCGCCGCCCGACAAAACCGCCTCGACCTCGCGGAGATTAAACCGCTCTCTCGATTTTATACCCCCCCTTTTTCTCTCCTTTTAATGGAGCCCGGCTCATAATGGCTCGATTGTCCGTTCTATCGATACCGGATGTACGTTTCACGGCTCGGATCCGCGTATCGCGGGGCGAGCGAAATTCCCTCGGCTCGAGAACGACCGGCGTTTTCTCTCTCTCCCTCTCGAAGCGTATCGAGATATCGACGAGTCGACGACTTCCGATCGTATCGCCGTTCGATATCTACGGGGAATGCCAATAAACTGATTTCTCGGCAGTTCCGATAATCATAGATATGCGTGTACTATATGCATATGTATACATACATTTTTTTTTATATATATGTGTGTATATATATATATATTTACAAGGACATACTACATATACAGAAGGCGTAGGCTTAAAAGTTAATTAAAAGATTGTTTGCTTCCTTTGCGGTGCGCGACCCTCGACGCCCGTCGCGAGCGCCGATGAGCCTCGGGATAAAGCGATCGGATAATCGATAATCGATGATATCGGTCATCGCGCGCTTACGGAACGCGTCCTCGACGAGGTCTCCCCCCGAGAGGAGTTAAAAGAAATTAAATGAAATTAAAAGAAATTAACCCTTTGCACACGGAGCCTTCTCGACATACGGGCGAAATTCGCCCGACCGTGCAGGCAATATTGGACCAAACGTACGGTGACCATAGTCACCCGCCTTAGCGCAAGGGTTAAAAGAAATCGAAAGGAATAAAACCAGAACGAGAGAGGGGGTCAAAAGGAGAATCGAGGACGATCCCCGATAATCCTTTAGATCCTAAAATTCGTCAGGAAAGTCGCGTTCCCGCGGGATAGGGTGCACTCGGCATTTCGGTGAATTCAAATCTCCGAATGTAAACACGTTCCCGCCCTCTTGGAGAGCGCTCGAGAGACTAGATAATACTGGAAGAAGCGGCTCCAAAATCAGAATCCAGCGAATGCCCTCGGATCGCGAAGAGACAGAGAGAAATGCGGAGAAAGGGAACCCCGCGAAATGTCCGAGTGTGCCCTCGCAAGTCGTTAACCTAAGCGCCGCGTAAATTCTCACGTGAATTTCCTCCCTTCCGAATCAAATCGCGCCCACTGGTTTCTATGTACATCGAGTTAAAGAAAAACCATTAAAAAAAAAAAAAAAAAATCATAAAAGAGGGAAAACCTCCATCCGCGCGCCTCGACGCGAGGAGAGGACCTCCCAGGGAAAGTGATCGACATCGGTCTCGCGCCGCAATCTTTAACATCCTATTTAACATTAACAATTAGCGTTTAGTGTTTATCCCGTGCTCTCATCGACGTCAACGGCCCGGCCGACGTAGACGGTGGACCTTCCCGACCCACCGTCAACGGGGTCCCGACCGTCGGGAGACCTTCGAGTTCCTCGTTTCGTCCCGACGAGAGAGAAACGTCCGGGCCGAGCCGCGCGGCGAGGCCGGCGGCTCGTTAGGCCGCTCGCGGTCGCCCCGCAAATAAATTAACTGGTAGAAAAGTCGCGCGCACTTTATACAAGTTCAATATACAATAGAATATACCCAGTCCGAAGGCCTCGCGCGGGCTATTTATATATTTATAATAGATAGATCTAACCATGCGTAGTGGTAGAGTCGGTCCCCCGCGTTCCACTCGGGCCTTAAAAAAGTGGGTGGTTCGCCACGTGGGGGAGCAATAAATAAACACCGGAGTCCCTCCGCCCTCGTCTCGGGGCGCTAAATGCAACTCTCTTGTACTCGGTGGGCGTCCTCAGAGCTCCGGGGTGACGGGGTCGAGGAGCCGCTTCTCGGGGTCGCGGGAGTCCCGGAGGACGAGGGCGCCGGCCTGGGGTCCGGCCGCCGCGGCGGCAGCGGCGGCGGCGGCAGCGGCAGCGGCGGCCACGGGGTCGCATCGGCACCCCTGGGAGGCGTGACGGGCGTAGCAGGCCTCGCAGAGGGCGACGCACCCCTTCAGGGGCCAGTAGCACAGGAGGCACGGGAGGACCAGGGCGAGGGCGCCGAGGCAGGCCCAGCGGGGGGCGGCGCGGGCGCCGCCGCAGGCGCAGGGCTCGTCGGCGCAGCCGCCGGCGGGGGGCTCGCCCTCGGCGCAGTGGTAGAAGAGGCCCTTGACGCAGCAGAGGCAGGAGGCGTAGTCGAGGGCGGTCTCGGCCGAGCAGAAGCACGCGTCGTCGCAGAGCCACCGGCTGGGGAGCGGCGGCGGCTCCCGGCAGGACTCGCACCTGCACCTGCCGCAGAAGTCGCAGATGATGGAGAGGCCCTCGGCGCCGGGGCGCGGGGCGAGCGAGCCGGCGGCGAGGGCGTTGGCGGGCTCCTTCGTGAAGGAGACCGGCTGCTTGGTGACGGCGGGGGCGGCGGTCTGCAGGCGGTCGTGGTGGCGCTGCGGGTGTCGGTGGTGGCTCCTGGGCTGGTGAGGGTGCTGGGGCGGGTGCTGCGACAGCTGGTGGTGGTGGTGGTGATGGTGGTGGTGGTGACGGCGGTGGTGCGCCTGGTGCCGGGGCGGGGGCGACGCCTTGCGGTGGCGGCGCTCGCCCTTGCCGGGCTTGGGGCCCTCGACGAGGCTCTCGAGGACGGCGGGCTGGCGCAGGGGCGTCTCGACGTACTCGTTGACGGCGCGCTCGCCGTCCGGCCGGGGCACGGCCAGGGTCACCTCGCCGACGGGGCTGCGGGGGGGCTCGGGCAGCCGGGGGCCGGTCCCGCCGGGGGGCTCCCGGGCGCGGAAGCTGCCGGCGGGTTGCAGGGGCGCCAGCGGGGCCAGGGGAGCCGTGAGGGGCGCCAGGGCGCCGACCGGGCTCTCGACCGGCCGGGGGGGCGGCAGCGGCCTCGTGTGGTCGTGCGGGTGGGGCCGGGGCCTGGGGGGGCCGGCGTGCACCCTGGCCGGGCCGTCCTCGGCGGGCGAGCCGGGGCGCGCATGGCGGCGCATCGGGCCGGGCCTCAGATCCGGGCGGGTCGCGGCCTCGGCCGCGCCGGCCGCGCCGGCCGCGCCCTGGGCCACCGGGGGGCCCGCGAGGGCCGCGGGGGTCCGCTCGCCCTTGGGGGAGGCGGGGCTGCCGGGGGTGGCGGCGTCTCGGCCGGTCGTTGGTCCGCTCGCGCTGATGCCGCTACTTCCGCTTCCGCTGCCGCCGCCGCTGCTAGGGCCGATGCCGCCGACGCCGCCGACGCCGCGGTCGCGGCTAGCCCATCGTCCGGGCGAGGGGGGCGCCGACAGGGCCGCCGGGGTACTCGCACCGACCTCTGCCCAGCACGCACGAGGAACCGGCCCTCTCGGCACCGCGGTTCCATGGGCGAGGGAAGACGTTCCGCGACCGCTTCCCGACCTCGCGAAACGCCCTTCATCCCCACCTGCGAACAGAAAGAGGACGAACCTCGATTACTCGTTCCTCCGGAGCGACCGGAAGCGACTCGCCCCTCCCCGCCCTCTCCAAACTGGGGGAGAGAGACGAGAGAAGGAAACGAAAATAAAGAAGCTTAACTCTATCGCCGCCGTGATTGCCGCGGGTCGCTACTTTTACGATAAGACCGAAATTTCGTGAACCAAGACGCGGGCACGGCCCTGCGCCCGATATCGCGCTCCCGGAAAGCTTCCGCGAGCGTCTTCCCCGGACGCGTTCGGGAGAAAATCCGAATACCCCCGCCTGGGGTCTCTCGACGACCTCGGGCCCACCCCGAGTATTTCCCGCCCCTAGTCCGCGTTAAAAAAATTTTGCGACCCCGAGGGGTATCACGGTGACTCCGAAAAGGCCCTACAGAAATGTCGCGTTCCCCGCTCCCAAATAAAAAATATATAGAAAAATCTCGGCCATCCCCCGTGGGCGCTGGTCAAAGTACACCCTGGACTCCTTTGAAACGCCTTCCACGCGTACATCGGTTCCGGCTTGACCGGGACGGAACGAGGTTAGAAAGAGGAGAGTCGTACCCAAGGGTCCTCCTCTGGCTCGCGCCGTGGAGCTTCGGCGTTCCGCCGCGGCGAGGCATCTCCGCTCTGGGCGCCACCGTCGGCCGGTTCTGGGGCGGGGAGTAAACGTAAATACGGAGGGCCGCGAAACCGGCGGAAAGGAACGGACGGAACGCGAGGACCGCGACGCGGCACCGGCAGGCGGCGAGTGAAAACTGAATCGCGGACGGAGAAGGTCGACGGCGGGGGCGGCGCGCGCAGGGGAGAGGGGATCCCTCCGCGCGGGCGCGTGGCGCCATCCTGCGGCGGCGCGCCGAGGCGGCCGGCTTTTTATGAATGGGCTCGCCGCTATCATTGAGGCCTCTCGAGTCGAATGAAGAGAGAGAGAGAGAGAGAGAGAGAGCCCGCGTTACGGCGGCCGCGCGCGCGGTCGAGCGGGATTTTCAAACGGGCGGCGACGCGGAACGGGGGACGGAAGAGGCCGCGCGTCGACGTATCGCGCTTCTCCGAAATGTTGACCGCGCGCGTAATCTCTCCTTCTCTCTCTTGGCGGGGGTCACGCGGGGGAAGAGGAGGAGGCGCGATACCCGATACTCCGGATGCCCGCGAGAAAGAAAGAGAGAGAGAGAGAGAGGGCACTCCGGCTTTTTCTCGGCCCCGCGCGCGCAGCTGCGAGCGCATCCTGCACGCCGGACGACCGGAGAGACGAGCGTCCCCTCTCCCCTCCCGGCTCCTCTCCCCCGGGATCCGACGCGTCGACGGCCGTACAAAGGGGGTCGCCATGTGTCGGCCCTCACCCACCCGCGCGATCGGACGATCCTCGATTCCGCGGACGCGGAGGAATGGGAACGATCCCCAGGGGAAGACGCGACCCGATGTCCGCACCGGGTGGTGAGAACATATGTCGGAGCCGCGTCGTTCCCTCGAATAAAGATATAAAAAGGAAAATTCTCTCGGTAGTTGAACGATAGTAGAATGATTCCTCGAGAGAGAGAGAGAGAGAGAGAGAGAGAGAGAGAGAGAGAGCGAGCGGTCGAGGACGTCGGTAGGAGCGTCGCGACGGCAGGTAGGAGCGGAGACGCGATGTTTTCAGGCCGGGCCCAGTCGGCAAGGCCCTCGGGAAGGCCGGCGGCTGCGCGCGCAGGTAGGGCCCGGCCCCCCGGTCGCGTGCTGGGGACCCTTCCGGCCCCCCTCCCGCGGGCCCGACCCGCTCCCGAGGGAAGGTCGAGGAGGAAACGGGGGGGAAAAGCGAGAATTACGAAATCTCGCGAAATCGGAGCGGCGGGAGGGAGGGAGGATCCTCGCGGTCTCTCTCCGCGCCGGCGGTGAGGTCGTCTCGTTCTGGCTTAACGCAGCCTTCTATATTTATCCCACTCATTAAGTCTATCTTCGTCGCGCACCGTTCATTCATAAGCCCGTCGGTCTCCCTCGGACTCGTATCGGGGCCTCGGTCGTCTCGCTCGCGCGTACGCACGTTCATTCATCCCTTCTCTTTCTCGCGCGGCGCATCCCGGGGCCGAGCGCGCCCGTATAACCCAGCCGAGGCGAGCCGAGGCGAGCCGAGGCGAGAGAGACGGCGCGATGGCCCGCGCCGCGGGCGCGAGAGAGACGAGGCGAGGAGCGCCCACGAGGGGGGACTTTATTTCCATGTCTTTTCATGGCGGGGGTCCGGCCGAGAGTTTCCAGCGAAAAGACCCTCGCGCGTATATACCCCCCATACGCGTATCTACACATACGTACATATATACATATACCCGCGGGACAATGCGAAAGAAAAATCCCGCGAACGCGGTCGGCCGCTTCGCCGGGTTAAAAATAATAAAACGAAGCACGCGCGGAGATAAACGAGGCAGTAAAAGACGCGACGAGGGGGAGGGAGAGAGAGGGGGGAAAGGAGGACGATCGGAGATAGCGCGGTGAGGGGGGAGGGGCCGCCCGAAAACCAAAAAAAAAAATGGGGTACTCTCCGACGATTCGCCCCACGTTCGGCGATCGATCCCGCGGAATCGCGGTCCGGATCGTCGAAGCGAATTCGAACCGAGCCCACTTTCCGGTCGGCCGGCTCGCGACTCGCCGCAGGATCTCCGGTCGACCGGACGGTGGGGGGGCAGAGCGGAGGGAGCGCGATACCGGACGGGCAGACGTCCGCGAACGAGCCCTGCCAAGAAGAGCCGGATGTACGAGCCGTCGCGAAAATATTGCCCCGCGGCCGAGAGAACCCCCACCCGGCGTCCGGCTTCCGGAAAACGCGCCGCCTCCGCGCTTCCGGTCGTAGCCAGGGAAGATACCCCGGACGGAGGACCCTGGAATTTTTCGAGATCCTTCGGAACTCATTTCGAACTCCTCGGAATACTTTTCGGAATTGTTTATAAACTTTTTTTTTTATTTCTCTGAATTTTCTTTTCTCCCAAAATTGACTGAATTTCGAGAGGGAACGCAGCCTCGACAGGCGCGTCTCGGGAGAGGCGGAGAGCGGCAGAGAAAGGGGGAGGGAGAGAGAGAGAGAGAGCGGGAGGCGGCGGGCCAGAAAAAGACGACGGAAGGCCGGAGGGAGCGCCGTAGGACGGCATTAAGGCCCGGACCCGCTCCTCCCTGCCCGACGCGACCGGGCCCTAACTCGAGAGGAAAGTCCCCGCTCGTCCGAACGGAATTCCTTTCCAGCGGGCACGACGGGGACCCACGCGGGGCGATCACGAAAGTGGACGCGACGTTCCTACGGGATTTTGACGACTCGTTCGAGCTCAGTCAATTCGTTCCTTCGATTGTAAAGATATCAATTGGATTTTTCCTCCTCCCCCCCGAGGACCACCTCGGCCGGATCGACCGATCGCTTCGACGGCCTAACCTCGACTGCCGCGCTTACGCCATGGACGAGAAGAACGCGTAGTCGGCAAACCCGACCCTGTTCCTATAACGTTAAAGGAACCACGAGGTAGCAGGAAGAAAAAGAGAGCGTTTATTTTTTTTCTACGATGAGCTCGCGAATCGCGATCCATCGGTCGAAGTCTTCTAGGCCGACGTCGCGTTAGAAAAAAAAAAGAAAAAAGAAAAAAAAATAGAAACAGGGTAAATCAATTCCTCGCGAGAAATATCAGGTCTCGTCGCGCGGTCCAAGGATCTACTCGGGGAAAATTGGCTGGGCTCTCTCTCTCTCGCCCCGCGATCGAGATACATAAAACGAGACGTTCATCCGCGCGTCGCGTGGGCGACGTCTGGAGGATATCCGGTGTTGCGCGTCCCTCGATTCTCTCTCTCTCTCTCCCTCTCCGCGTCCCACGTCCACTAGGCATCGAGTAGCCATTGAAGATCTTCGAGAAGCTCCCGAGTCGCCAAAAGGGGACACACCTCGCCATTTTCCGCTAAAATGGAGGATCGTTGCGCGAGACTAATGGGCACCGGGGTGCGCTCCCAGGGGAGGGTCCGAGAGGGCCCGGGCCTTCGAGGGGAGTCCGGGCCGAGATTTACGGAGAGAGCCCTTCCGAGTATTCCGAACAAAGTGCCCCACGATCCGGGGCATTGTCCCACCTTTCCGACCGTCCCGATTGTCCCGCCGGGTCCGAATCGTCCGGTCCCGAGGACCGATCCCCCCGTAAAATCGCCTCCCGCGGTCCCCCCTCCCCTCCACTGGTATCGCCCTGCGATAAGGGAGAAAACATAGGTCCCGAGGGGCACGCCTGTCCTCCCTTCCCCCCCTTTCCCCAGGTAAACCCGCGTCACGACAGATGGGACCGGCAGATTTACCGCGATTTAGGAGGCGGAAACCAGGTAACCGATCCACCCCCTCCCCGGCCGGGGTCCTTCTTTCTTTCCCTCCTTCCTTCCTGCCCTCCGCCGCGCCCGCCGCGGATGGAATGTGGACGCCATATGGCCTCGGCCTCTCCGAGCCCGAGAGCGTCGTCCACCCACCCACCGCCCACGCGAGCGCCCGCGCGTCCGCGCGTCCGCACTGCCGGCGGGACCGAGAGCGCGAGGGAAAAAACTATTTTCGGCGACCCACCGGGCGCGAGCCGCCGAGCGCGCCCGAGGACGGCCGAGCGCGCCCGAGGGCGCGCACGTGGGGACGCGCGCCGCGATCGAGGAATCCATTGACGATCCCTCCGCGTTCCCCGAGACGCGCCGCATTCCCTCGAACGAGGTCGCACGGAAGATGACGGTGGGACGGGGAGAGAGGGGGGGGGGAGGGAGGGAGGGAGGGAGCGGGAAAAACGACGGATTCCGCTTCTCCGCGCACATGTTCCGCGCGAGATACGGCCCCCTCCCTCTCCGCCCCCTCCGGACCTTTCGGCGACCCGAGGGGGTCAACGGCCCGCGAAGGAGCCGAAGACCCGGAGGAAAGAAACGGCGCCCCCTCTCCCCCGCCGATTGAAATATCGAGAAAAGCCATGGAAAATGAAACCCGATTTAGTCCGAGTGGAGTCGAGTCCGCGGGGATCGCGAGGGGGAGGGAGGGGAGGGGGCGCCTCTTATGCAAACCGGCTTCTAGGGTTTTCCCGGGAGGCGGCGGAAGTCGGCGCTTCATTCATGCGGGCGCGGCCGAGCCGCGCGGACGCGAGTCCCGGGGGCGGGGAGGAGGGGGCCGCGACCTCGAAACCAGAGGGGGGGGGGGCCCGACTTTCTCGCGAGCTTTCTCCACCTCTCGGCGTCGTTCATTCACGTCGCCCCCTCCCCCTCGACGTCGCGTCGACGGGACGGTCTAGAGGAAATCCATCAATGGGACGGTCACGTGGCCCGGGCGGAAGGATCCAACGGAACGGGGGAGGCAGGGTATGGTCGGGGGCCGGTCGGGGGCCGGGGGCCGTCACGTAACCGGCCTCGTAACGGCAGTTGCGTAACCGGAAGTGGCCGAAAAGAGGGACCGCGGCTCCATATGGCCGGGCGCGGCGCAAAGACTCACCGTTTCGACTGGGCGGCCTGGGCGGGGCGGGGTAGGGCGGGGGCGTCAGCGGGGGCGGCGAGGGCGGCGAGGGCGGCGAGGGCGGCAGGCTCCTGGTGCGGGGGGGGCCCGGCGGCGTCGACGTCCTCCCTCCCGTCGCGGCGGGGGGCCAAGGGGGGCGCCGCGGGGGCAGCGCCGGGGGCGGGAGGCGGTCCGCGGTATCCACACTTCCACGGTCGCGTTCACCTGGTCGAGCTGGCTGGGTCCCGAGGTCGGCGCGTCAGGAGACGGCGTCGGAGGGCGGCATGCCCTCTTCCCGCTGGCGGCGCGGCGACGCCAGCGACGGCCAGCGGCGGCGATCGACACCTCGCGGCCGCTCCCGGCCGCCTCCTCCCCGGGGCCGGGCGGGCCGCTCGGTCGCGTAGGCCGGCCGCCGGTAAGCGGGCTCCTTCATTCACCGCGCGCCGGAGCGTCCCCTCCTCTCCTCCTCCTCCTCCTCGCCCTCCTCGGCGCGCTATCGCGGGCGCGGCGCCTGCGCCGCGGCGCGCCGACGATCTCGCATTCCGCGCTCCCGCTCGCCCGGAGCTTCAGCTGGCTGAGGCCGCCATCTTGGCCGAGCCGAGACGCTCGCTCTCCGCCGAGGTCGCGCCGGGTCGCGCTCGGTCGCGTCCGGTCGCGTCCGGTCGCGTCCGGTCGCGTCCGGTCGCGTCCGGTCGCGTTCACTCCCGGTCGTCACCGGCCTTCCTCGTGGCTCCTCGGCCCTCCTCGGCCTCGGCCGGTAACGGCGATCTCTCTCTCTCCCTCGCTCTCTCACTCGCTCGCTCGCTCGCTCTCTCTCTCTCTCTCTCTCTCGCTCCCTGGACGCGAGCGCGCACCCGACTGCCGGCGACTGCCGAGTCGCCGCTCCCGAAGCCCGACTCGACGGGGACTCGCGCGATCGACCGAGGGCTCGCAGGCGCGCGTGACTCGGTACCCGGCACGGTTCCGAGCGGCTCTGAGCCCGAGCTGCGCCGAGGAGGTTGACGGAGCTCGCCGCGAGCGGCCGCGCGAGCCGAGCCAGTCGCCGCTCCGTGGGTGGGGTGCACCGCGCAGGCGCACCCGGCCCCCGCCCCTCCCGAGAGCCAGACGCGATACTTCATTCATGCTCGTATTGTGCGCCCAGGGCCGCGCCTCCCGACCCGGGCCCCCGGCCCCGCCGGCCCCGCCGTCCCCCCGAGTCGCCCGGAGCCGTCCACCTCGACCAGCCTCGACTGCCGCGACCCCCCGAGAGAGAGACGATCCTCCGAGGACGAGCGGCAGGGCCCGCTCGGCGAAGAAATCTCGAGAATTCTCGAGAATTCTCGAGAGCCCTCCGGAGTCCGGGACTCGCTTCGCCGGCCCTGGAGGGGCTCCGCTCGAGCGAGGGGCCCGGCGCGGAGGGGGCGGACGCAGCCTCGGGTCGCTTCGTAAAAGTCCGCCGACTACATCCTCTTTCGTCCTCATCGGAAATAAACGCCTGTCCTTGTCGCGCCACCGACCGTCGACTCGGCCCCTCTCTCTCCCCGTTCCCCCCTTCCCCTCCCCGGCCTCCGGGTTCGCGTCGGGCGGACGGTGTCCGAGATCCGGCCGCCCCTCTCTCTCTCCCTCCCACCCGGCCTCTTCCGCCTGTCGCCGTCTGCGTCGCCCGCCCCCTCTCTCGCGCTCGAGCGAGCGTCGATCGCTCCGAGGAAAGGGCCTTCCGCCGACCCCCTTCCCCCTGGCCGACCAGTTCCCCTCCCTCTCGCTCCCTCCGTGCCACGGTCGTTACGAGAGCTCGAGCTAGAACCGCTCTTTCTAGAAACCGCGGCCCCGCCGGAGCGACGGAGACGGCCGATTCGATTCGCATCGATTTCTTGAATGGCCCGACGGGCTCCCACCCGATAACAGGATCGTCCCGCCGGAGTGGGAGAAAAATCCCGGCCCTCTCCCCCCGGGAGGGAAGAACCTGCCCGCGATCGAACGGGAAACGATCCTCCCGTGGAAATCGAGCGCGATAAGAGGGAGAAGAGAACGTCGAGGCGGACCGAATGTAGGTTAGGCGCGACCAACCCCGAGACGAGCACCGAGGGCGGAGAAAGGACCGGCGACCTCGCCTGTGCGGCTCCGAGACCGTCGATGTCTCCGCTCCGACACCCCCGAGGATCCCATTAAGGCCGTCCCGAACGCGACGCCGGGCATTTTCCGCGATTCCGTTCACCGTCGAACCTAGGCAACTACCCCGTCGCCATTTCGCTCATCTCTCCCCGTTACTCCAGAGGGTGGGAACCCCCGGGCCCGGGTCTTCGAGAGGTGTCGCTTTTCTCGGTCCCGGGGACGATTTCGGATGATTAAAGAGCGGCGAGAAAAAAAACGGGAGGACGTTTTCCTTATCCGAGGACGAATGTGATTTTTAATTCTTCGCGGGTACTCCTCGACCGAGGTATCCGAGGGCCTTAACCCCCTGGCAACGCGATCCCGAGGACGCGACTCGGGACGGCGGAGTTCCCGTTCCTCGTGATGCTCCCTTCCCGGAATTCGGAACAATAAGTGCGGCGAATCTCGCGGATCGGTCGACCGGATGTCCTTCGGTTCTCTCGCTTATGCGTCGCCCGGGAGCGGGGGAGGCTCGGCGGATACCCGAGAAGGGGTCGGGGAGCGGTTCCCAGGGGAGGAAATCCGGTGCGGATGCGCTTCCCGTCGAGGGCCGCACGCACTTCCGCCTCTCGGCCTCTCCTTCGCGCGCGCTCGCCGGTATCTCCTCCGGCGACGCTCCGCCGGTCTCCGGCTACTTTACGAAAATCCCCAGGAGGATCCTGCACCCAGAGGCGGAGGTGAACTTGGGGAAAGAGAGAGAGAGAGAAAATGTCATAGTACCTTTTCTTCGGCAAGGAAAAAAAAAAAAAAAGGAAAGAAATTGGAATAAAATCACAAAGGTGCGACCGCGACCGATCTCTCCGCGGGATCGGGAGAACCGCCGAGGCCAGGCACTCGCCTCGTTGCATTTCCGTTTCTTCGTTGGAGCGTGCTCTCGCAATTACGCGTATCGCGTGTCAAATGCCAGAAGGCCGTACGAGCTATGCCTGGACACGGCCGGAGCGTCCTTCTGCCGCTAGATACGCGATATCTTAACAGCCTCGTCGAGAGGCGACGCATCTGCCGCAAAACGCTTCGACTCTCTTTCTCTCTCCCTCTCCCGATACATCGAGCGAACGCAGACGCGGGTTTTCCCCGCGACCCGAGGGACTCGCTTCGAGTCTCTTTCCGTAAAGCCTACCTGCAAAATGACGCGATAACGGGGCCGATAGCGTCCCTCCCGGCGGCCATCTTGGATCCGGCGAACGGGAGCTCGGCGCCTCGGTCTCGCGAGTTTTCCAAGATCCCTCTCCGGGTTTCGCGCTCACTCGCAAGTAATTGCGAGGTCAAGTGATTCGTTGACTCCGGGAGGCGACCGAGTGCCTCTCGCTCGCTTTCTGGAAACCGGGTAAAATTCCCGGCATGCGTGCTCGATCGAACGTCGAGGGAAAACACGGGTCGACGACGCGGGTGGAGGTAGAGGACACGACCGCCGGGAGGTAAACGGGGAAAAAGGACCATTAAGCGAGCCCGATCGTAGGTGTAATTAAATTCAGGAAATCGAGGAAGAGTACCTCCCCTAGAACGGCACTTCCGAGCCGAAGGTAAAAATGCGACGAGGAGAACCCCACGACGGGGACGGCTTCGGACCCGCGGGAGGAATTGCGCGTCTCGGGCTCGCTCGCGTGCGTAAGCGCGCACCTCTTCTCATCTCGTATGCACGAGGGCAACCTGCGGATGTATGAATGACTCCATCCAAATGACGTGCATTCATTGAGAGCCCCGGCCCGCGGTGCGCCGCGACGGGAGACGCTCTCCGTCCGTTCCCGGCAAGGACGCCACTGCGAAGCGCGTCGAGCCGCCTCGGTGTTCAAAATCCCGTCTTACGCGAACGCAACAAGCCGTGAAACAAATGAACAAACTAGATGATCCGCGCAAAAAAAAAAAAAAAGGAAAAAAAAAAGTAAGAGAAAGAAAAAGGAACAACGCGTGCATCGGGGTGGGTCGCGATAACGGTGCGGCAGACTCTTCGCAATGGTGTATACCTTTATTTCTCCACTTAACCTCGCCACTCCCCTCCTCCTCCTCCCTCGAAACCTTGTACATCTTTATTCCTAAGTCGTTCGGCCCGTCTCTAGAGAAGCCAGATACAAAACACGTGGGGGCTCCCGTATTTACGCGCTTACGTGCACTCCTAATCCTACACGGTTCTTCCGTTTCGGTACAGGCCCGTTTCCTCTCTCTTCCATTTCCCCCTGCCCCCTGCCCCTCTTCCCACCTTAAGAGTCTCCTTCGTTAAGAGTCATGCGTCGTAACGGAACACAAACGGAACAAACGGAACGACCGGTCGACGAGTCGCGACACATGCGATTCGGGCGCGCGGGCACAAATTTAATCTCGATTATTTTACAATTCCTACCTATATATAATAACCGCGGCTCCTTCGACCCCCTCCCGTCATACCATAGCGATGGCGAAAAGGAACGCAGGTTCTTCCTCGAAAATTTGACAGCGACCGCGACAGCCCCTTGCGCGACTCGTAGGGAAGAAAATGGCTGACGCGCCGCCGCCTCTCGTCCTTCCCCCCGGGAGTATCTAATTAATATTGCACCAGTCGAGGGTGCTCTCCCTCCCCTTTATCTAACGACTCGCGACGCGCGCGAAGAAGAAGGCACCTCTGGCGGAATTCCCGATACTTCGGGCAGGGAGCATTCCGCGAAAACACCGACGGCGATGCGCGCCGGAAACCGAGGCGGAACGAGGGGGGACCGCGAGGCGGAAACGCTCGCGCCTTGGAAAAATATATGCAAAGGAGGGAAAGGGACGATCTTCTCTCTTCCCTTTCGCCCCTACGGCCCCTGGGACGCCGTCTTCGTCCGAAGGACCGATATATTCCGTCCCTCCGCTTCCTCTCCTCCGGACGCGCCGACTTCCGGTCTCCTTCCGGCCTCCTCCCGGTCGGCGCCATGACACCTGCCGACCGGACCGTCCCGTGATGCTCCTGCGAACGCTCAACACCGGCTGCCGAGGAGTCGAGGCACCTAGAGGATCTGGAAGAGCTTCTTCAGCTCCACCATGAGCTGCCAGTCGGGCTTGAGCAGGTCGTCCCTGAAGTACTCCTTGCAGGCGTCTATACTCTGTCGGCTTATCTGCAACAAAAATGCCAAATTGAGTTACGGGATGAAAATAAAAATTTAATAAAAATCGAGGAACGCCCGAGAGGTCCTCGAAAGGTCCGCTGCAGGTTTGGGCGTCCCGAGGAGGCGAGGACTCCGAGGGGGCTCATCGGAGCGGAATTCCGTTACGAATCGGTTTATCGACGATTCGGGGCCCGGAGGAATCCTCCCCGAGGCGTGACGTTCGCGCAGCCGATTCTCTCCGGGCCCGACGCCGGAAGCGGGCTTCCACGAAGCGTGGACGATCCGCCCGAAGTGGCAGTTCTCTCCTTTCCTCCCGGAATCCTCGAAAGGGTTCGCCTGGAGGGGCTTCCGGTGGCAGCTGAGCCGCGAGGCCAGCTGCTCGATTTCCCCGATTTTCCGAAACACCGTTCCCCCCTCCTCCCCGAGTCCTCGATGGAGGTCGGAGAGGAAAGAAAGAAAGGAAAAAAAAAATAAATAAATCCAACGACCTCCAATCCTCCGGGCATTTTTCCTTTTCCTCGTGCCCCTCGAGGACCCCCTAGGAAGGGCGAATCACGGATGAGCCGGCCACGCGTGTCGGTGCACGTGGCACCCGGTCAACGAAGCGGCACGCTCGGGTCAGAGGGGGACGAGAGAGACGGCGGCGCGTCGCGGCGCTCCACAACTGTTTCCGCCCCGGCCGGAAGTCTCGTTTCATTCATGGATCGGCCACAATGGTAGTTTTACGTGGCTATCGAGGACGCCGTTTTCCCTGCCCCTCGGCTCGCCCTCTCTCTCTCTCGCCGACCGCGCGCGGAATAGCCTCGTCTCTCTCGCGCGGCCGCGCTCCCACGCCGGCCGAGCTCGGGAGAGTCGAGGATACCCGAGCGCGCCCGAGTACTCCCGAATGCTCCCGAGCACGCGCGCGATCGCCCAACGATACCTCTGAAGAGGATCGATCGATCGCTTCGATCGGATCCTCCCGATTACTTTGATTTCCCCCCGTTCGAATCGACGCCGTTCCCCGGAGAGCCGAGCCGACGGAGAGGTTAGGACGGAAGCGGCGTCGGTCGGCCTCGCGAGAAATTCCCTGGCGGGCGTTTCCTTTGTCACGTAGAGGAAATCGATCCGTTAGTATGCGCGACCGCCCTTGGAGGAGGAACGCGTACATCCGGTGGCCACCTGCTCGCCCACTTCCGGTCTTCCCGGAACGGCTCTCTCCGTCTATCGCGTTCCCCTCTCTCTCCATCCCCGATTCCCGTCGCCGCGCGGCTTTCGGGGAATTTCTCTCGAAATTGCCCCCTTCCTCAAGAGACCCCCGCCCGGAAGTGGAGATTTTCTCGGGAAGGTTTTTTCCCCCGGAGACCCCTTTTCCGTCGGTTGGCCCCGTCTCGCGTTTTAACCGCTCGTTAGAGCGCACCCCGGCTCCGAATCATTTGAGAGATGACCCCACGGGAAAGGAGATCCAACGTGGGAATATCACCGGACCGGAAACGCGTGGGAGGCTCGTCCCCGGGACATCTTTCAGGAGGGCACTCGAATTAAACGGGCCTACTCTCGGCCGATATCTTTTTGAGGAACGAGCCACCCACGTGTTTCTCTCCTCCTCGAGGACACGTGGGTGTCTCGCATCGAGGATTCCTTAAAAAGAAGAAAAGACCGAAGGGGCGCTCCCCGAGGCAATTCGCGAGCCCAGGAAAACTCCCCCGCTGGGGGATATTAAATTCCCGAGGAAAGGGAAAAGATTCCCGAAGGGCTTTATCCTGACCCTCCCCACGTCGCTCGCAGGGAACAAGGGGAGGGAATCGAAAATCCGAGGGGGAGGCCGGCCAACGACCCGACTCGAATGGGAGCACCCACGTGACTCGGTTCCATTCAGCTTTCCCGAACCCCTCGACGTCGACTTTACGTCGCGACGTCGCCGCGACGTCTGGCTCTCCCGAGGAGGGGAGACCCCACCTCCGCCATCGATTCCGGCGCCCGTGGTCTCTGTCCTAAAATTCATTGAATTTATCCAAATTTCCGGAATATCGCCAATTTTCCGAATCTCTCTCTCCAGAGGGCCTCGAAAATGTCCTGAGACCTCGAACTGACTTCCGGGTCGAGGGGGCGAAAAAACCGCGAGTATCTCTCCGGTTGCTCGACGGGCCACACGTGTCGGCCACTTGAATCGATCCGAGCCCGAGGCGAGTAAAAAGGGCGAGAAAGAGAGAGCGAGAAGAAGAAAGAGAAGAGGCCCTCGAATTCGACGAGGGAGCGTCCGCGGAAGATCCGCGCCTCCACCTATGCAGGATTTAAATCCAGTCCCGGCGTGTAAGGCTCGGGCGAAAGAGAGAGAGAGAGAGAAAGTAAGAGAGAGAACGAGTTACCGCGTAGGTACGTGAATGGCTGCGCCGTCGAGCGATACACCCGGAGAGGGGCCTCCTCTCTTCCGCTCTTTATCGGCGTCACGGCGGCGGGCCCCGAGTCGCGCGAGTGGGAGCGAATCGCCCGCGAACTGCGTATTTGGCCAGGTGCGCGCGCACGTTCGCGGCTTCTCGGAAGAGCGGCCCCGACAAGGTGAATGGAAACGAGAACGGAAAAGTCCCTCGTAACTCCTGGGGCCGCTCGACTTAACGACCTCCCCGCGATTTCCTCGGACGGATCTTTAACGGCGATATATATAGCCGTTAAAAAAAAAAATATCATATACACATATAAAAATGAATATATATATATCCGGCCGAGGATGGCGAGCTCTTATCGGCGCGCCGAAATCAGCGTCTCTCCGTAAGCGAGGAGGGAGAGAGAGAGAGATAGAGAGATGGAGAAAGAAAGAGAATAAAGAGAGAGGGAGAAGGACCGAGTCGGCTCGCAATGCGACGTACGCCTCGGTCGATATACAGAAAATCCATGAATGGTCTCGCCATTGAATGACATTCTGCCGTTACGTAAGGCCTCCCCTCCCCTCGGCCCTGCCGGGTCGTTTTTTATTTCTCCCCGCGTCGCCTCGTCCCTCCCTCCTCGGAGCCGGATAATCGTAAATACTCGTGCATAGACGTCACTAGGCGCTCAATGAGTCGCGTCGTTCCGCGATTCTCTCCTGCAGCTTCCCTCGCCTCTCCCGGGTATCTGGGAAAGATGAAAAACGGGGGAGAGAAAAAAAAAAAAGAAAAAGGAAATGAGAAGCGGATCCCGATCCGACGAGGAGGCGGTCATCGGACCGTCCGATCGGTCGGAAGCCGTTCCCCATTCGAGTCGTATTTCAAGCTGAAACGGACACACCGGGTACAGGGGATACCTATGCGCAATATACATATACACCCATGTACCCGGTGTCCCGAGGTATATAGATAGGCAGATATCCGGAGCGCGATCGGCGGCCCTCCTCTATCGGTCCAAAGCCGTTCCACTCGAGGTCGTATTTCGAGGCCGCGGGACCGTACCCGGGCGAGGCCTTACGAATCGTTTGGCACCGAGGAAATAAATACCCCGGACAAAAGGTCGGAAAGGGGATTACGGAGGCGCCTACCTTGCTGACGATGAAGTCCTTCTCGTCGAAGTGCCGGCCGAACATCTTGGGCGCCTCGCCGGGCACCGGCTCGATCTTCACGCAGACCTCTTGACCCTTCCTCGCCGTCTCGACGGGCTTGTGGTTGTTCTCGATGCTCGTCACTACGCCCAGGTCGACGAACTGCAAGCAAAGGGGGCTGTGTCTCATTTCGAAGAGCGGTCGCGGCGGCCATTAGCGTCCGCTTTAAAATTCACCCCGCGGCGCGCCGGCGAGGCCCGGGAATTATTTACGCTCCAGGAGGAAGAGCCTCGGACGAGGTCGAGGACGAGGACGATCGCGCGCGAGAGAGAGAGGAGAGAGAGAGGAGAAGGAGAGCTCCGAGGAAGGTACCGAACGGGATCTTTAATTCATGACTCCTTTTTCTCGGGCGGTCCGTTCGCGATTTTTAAACCCGCGCGGAAAAAGCTCCCCCCCCCCGTCCGCGTGGGATTATCGAGCGATCGAATTCCCTGGATTTCGACGAGACTCGGGGGGCATCCGGAGGTGCGCGCGATCCAAGATGGCGGCGGAAGGACGGAAGGGCCCGCGCGGTCCTCCCGCCCCGGCGTCGCCGCTTCGGGGTTTAATTTAAAATGTAAGCGACGAACCGGCTCTCCCCGTGGGCAGACGCCGGCCCGTAATGCCTACCAACTAGGCGCCGATCGTCCCGCGGACCGAGCCGGACAATGGCCGACCGGATGTCGGCCGTGTATTCCCAAACCCACGCTCGCGAGGGCTCTTCGTGGAACTCGGCCCGGGCTGGACCGAGTTCGAGACCTAACCCCGTTGCCGGGGACCTCCGGGGGCCCACGAATAAGGCCCGGCATTATTTCCCGGTCCAGGTGTCACGTGGTCCCTGGAGCCGCCATCTTGGATCGCTCTATCTCTCTCCCTCTCTCGCGCCTTTTCCCTTTTCTCCCTCTCGCGGGCCTTTTTACGGGCCCCGTGGGCCGACGCGTGTCCGGCTGAATTTATCACCCCCGAGGAAATTCCCTCCGTTGGGACGTGGGCCGAGGAGAGGAGGCCGACGCCCCTAAGCAAGGTGCACGATCTCTCTCTCCCCCCGGTATCCCCTTATCCCGCGGCCCTCGACTTCCGCCGGTTTCTACCAACCCGAGCCACCCCGATTTTCCTCCTCCAGATGCCCTCCGCTCTCGTCCGGTCGACCCGCGGCTGGAGGATCGCGTCGAGGCGAGCTAACTTTGGAGCGCGCGGGTTTCCCTCCGCTCCAGCATCCTCGGGAGGCCCGATCTCGTCGCCGACGTTACGTCCAAAAAAGCCCGCCCTCGTTCTATTCGCCTCTCGTGGCGGACCTTGTCCATCCTTGGCGGCCATTCCCTCGGGAACCGGTGAATACGAAATCTCCGATTTCCTTCCCGAAGACCCGGGGGAAGAGGAAAGGAGGAAGCCGTGTTTAGGAAACCACGGGCCACGCGACGCCACGCCGCGCGGCCCGACTTTGGCATAGCTCGCGGGCAGACGCCGAGCGAGACGGGAACCGGAAGTCTATTTTCGTGGACCGAACCGATTTAGAATCCTTTATAGTTTATACGCGGCGGCCGCGCGAGGAAGGCCTCTCTCGCCCGTCCGTGCCGGATCCTCCGCGACACCCGAGCCCGACCGGAAGTAGGCGCTTCCGACCCCACCGGAAGCGGCCGAGCGTCTCTCCCCGTTTCCGGAGTCGCTCCTCCGGACGTCCACTTTGAGAGACCTCCTGCGGGGACGATCCCCTGGGTCCCTCTCTTCCCTTTCCGGAATTTCCACCCTCGACGGAGGAAACGCTTTACCGGAAGCGTCCCGATCCCAGGGAATAAATCTCCGCCAAATCCGTCCCGGATGTCGACGTCGAGGGATCCTAACCCCGCGAAAAGAGACCGCCGGAAGTCCCGGCTCTCGTGTTTCACCGATCGACAGCGAGGCCCAAAATAACCGGGAAGCGACGTAAACGGCTTAAACGGCGTAAACGGCGAGAGCGACCACCAAGCTATAGGAAACCGTCCCTCCCTTCTACCGATCCCGATCGGACCCCTCGATCATCGCTCTCTCTCTCTCCTTTGTCTCCTCCGGACGTGACACTTTTCCCGACCCCTCGGAGATGGGATCGACGTTCGACGGGCCGTTTACCTTTCCCCGGAGGAAATATATGGGGCCCCCAAAAGGATCTCGACCCTCCGAGGAATGCGGGGAAGAACAGGCCCATTTCCGGCTCTGAGCCGTTATCTCTCTCGCGTTCGCTCTTTCGGGCCCCCGATGGACCCCCGATACCTCCACCCGGGACCGGTACCAGTTCCCCGCGACCTCCTCGCGACGAGTCCTCCCCGGAAAATCCCCCCAAAAAATAAATAAAAATAAAATAAAGATACCCACATCGGACTAGAACCTCGGATAGAAACGAGGTACCGGAAGTGGCGCGATCGAGAGGCCCCCGCCCGAAATCGGAAGGTCAACACTCGCTCATCCGGGAGGGGAGCGATACTCGTCCGGATAACGAAACGACGACCCACGGCCACGCGTGGGCCGCGGAGAGACGGATGCGCGCGATAAGCCCCCCCTCCCCTGAAATCGATAAACCGTGATAACGCGATAAACGGTTGAAGGGGGGGCTAGAGCGTTATCGCGCTACCGGCGCGAATCGGGGCCGTGGATCGCGTGCCCGCGACGCTCGGGATCTCCGAGGACGAGAAGAGATCGCATCTCTCCCTCTTTCTCCGTCTCTGAGTCCCGATTTTCTCCTCTCTCCTCCCTCCCCCCCCGGGGGG